ATTATAAACAAACTAAAAAATAATTTCAGGTTAAATGTATACCCGGGCGTAGCCCGGATTACCCCTAGTTTTATCAAAATAATCTAAGTTTAAGAATTAAGTGATTAAGCATAGATACAATTGGTTACAACCTGTAAAATGCCTATGAATGAACAGAATATGCTTATATCTTTAAATATCTTTGTTTTTCGGTCTAAACAAAACAACACGTAAATGTGTTTCTTCTTCTTGTTTCCCGTCTTAAGGCCGCTTGCTAAATATGATTTTCAAAGTATAATCGGTAAGACCCTTAGGAAAGATGGAAAGACCAAAACGTGTGATTATTGGCTCTTTTTGTCATGGAGCAATTTGGAGAAAAGGATCCAACAAGTGTGAGGCACTTTGTGGCCAAAATGTGTAGACAATGCAGAAACAATATCTAAAGCATAACTATGAACCTCAGACTTCTTTGACATCCGAAGAAGCATTGATATCCACATTCCAGGTGCAAGCTTCACCGCTTCATTCAGACACTTGAATCCATTGCTCACTCTATTCATTGTCCTTTCTTCCTGCAGAATTGAATTAACAAGTTTGTTTTAGAAGATTCCGTTGCGAAAGAAAGAAAAAGGGAACGTTTTAATTGATGATTTTACTGACCCTCTTAAGATTGATGGTCTGCTTCTTCTTCGTGTTAAGATCAAGAGCCTCTTCTTCCAGGAATATGTCAACCACTCTGATTATGTCCTGTAGAAGGAAGACTCGAACTCTCTGCCCTTTCTCTGATAATATGAACAGTAGCAGATCTTCTGTGGCGGAAACTACTGAATGCATGTCGAATGATTTTAGTTCTGATGATTTCTTCAACGTTTTGTCTTCTGGAGAGTCTCCTGAAGTCGCAGATGCCTGTTCAGATATAGCTGCTACCTGGAAATAGAGCTAGTTAGCTGCTCATTCTTTAGATTATTCAATAATCCTAACGAGAAGGGCTATATGACAGTACCAGGCGTTCAAGGCGATTCCACCTTATTGATCCATCATTACAAATGACAAGTTCCCTTAGAATTTTCCTCATATCTGGGCTTGGATCTGCTAATAACCTCCCGATAACAAATGGATATGCGCTCTCGATCACTTTAAACTCTGGATCAAGAATCTTAGCCGTGCCTTCCAGTGAACCAAGAGATCTTATAACAAGAGCATAATCTGGAGGCAGTGAAAAGTTGAACTCGTACATAACATCATATAATTGTTCCATCACCCCCTGTACAGCAAAATGTAAGGATTATGGTAAATGTCGCCACAATGAGTTTGGGCAAACTCACAATGACGGGACATGGTAAAAATATGATCACGGTGAAGAATTCTGTCAATGGAGTCTCACCAAACAAAGATATTTCTCAACCATGACAATATCAGTTGCTGATTGGGTTTCTAACAGTAGGAAAACATCAGTACGGAAATAATATATATCTCTCAGAAATCCGAATTCCTTTCTCAAATTGTTAGTAGCCATCCAATGTTTTGGACTACCATGAAGCGGAATTTTAGTTTGATGCATGTGATAGCTTCCAAACATAAGTCATTCTAGCAGAAGTAAAAAAAATGCTAATGAGGTCGGTCCAATTACCACATTGTAAAACAACCAGGCTCCTACTATTACACTCCTATTAAGTTTTCTCCACCTTTGTGGCTTTTCAAAACCATAAGGTTGTAAAGAAATCATTTTCAAATGTGCCTTTTCCGACTTGCGTGTTTAGTTGATACATTTTCCAGCTCATAAGCAATAATATAAAAAATGCTAATTAAGGCTTTGCCACAATTGTATCTTTTAGTGAATTTATCTTTAGGGTTTAATGTAATTTTCATCACAAGTTGAAATACCTGGAAATCTTGTGATATTCTCGTAGTAGAACCAAATGAAGAACGCAAAGCATTTGAAACTGCTTGTATATCGACCCCTTCAGGCAAAAATCCCAAGGACAGGAAATCATTTGCCAAACTTAGAGAATCACGGTTGACAAAATGCACCAGCTGTAATAGCAATAGAACTAATCAAAATTGACAAAGTGATGGAAACACAATCTCAGTTGGAAAAGTTATTCTTTCGCCATCTTAAGCCGCATATAAGCAAAATCGAAAAGAAGCAAGGAAGACTGCAAGCATATATAAGACATACAAAAGGCAATGATAAACTGAAGTAGAGCTTACAATTTGAATAAGCCCAACACGGTAATGGCGTGGAATATTTCCCATCATTCCGAAGTCAAAGTAAACAAGAGACCCTTCTTTAGTAGCGACAAGATTTCCTGGGTGCGGATCAGCATGAAAGAACCCAACCTCAAGAAGCTGTTTTAGTGAACAGGATAAGCCCTGCGAACCAGACCAATACAAGGTTCTTAATGGAACATTTACACCATACTAAGTCCACATCTATCTCTCAGAATCACAAAGTTCAATCCACAGATTCATTTGCCAATTTGTGACGAATGGACGTTAATTTATAATTAGGTATCAGTAATTTTGTTACCTGATCGATCAAGTCCCTTCTATCAAGGGAAGCCCCTTTCAGCTTAATTTCATCTGTTAGTTTTATGCCATCGATCCATTCCATTGTGAGCACTGCTGTGCGTGTAAACTTCCAGTAAATTTTAGGGACTTTGATGTTCTCTGCTCTGTGATTCCTGGACTTATTCCTAGGTCCATCGTTAACATTGATCTGCTCATTCCCTGCCAATGTTCAAAGATACATTTTATTTGCTAATGATGTTTCAAAAGAGAATGGACAAATTAATACAAGCGAACCTACCTGAGTCAAAACTGTATAGAGAAGCAAATCGTTCTGCATTTTTTGCCTCTAGAACGTAATCTATTTCGTCAAACATATGCCTGACCTGTTAATCCAAGAGAGACATGAAGATGTTCGTATAATATAGGTAAGCAGAAAACTAGTTCGAACATTTCAGATAAATGACTGACCATCTCATTCACAGCTACCAAAAGATCCTTACGAGCTTTCGCAAATCGTTTTAGTTGTCCCCCAATCATTTTGAATAAGAGGGCATCACGTGTTAGAATGATTGACATTCCAGGTCTCTGAACCTTAACGGCTACCAATTGTCCAGAATGCAGATGAGCTGCAATACTTATGGGAAAAAATGAAACAGTTAGCTTCTAGTAACTCTAAACTGAGAAAAATGGAAAGGAGAATAACGGTAGAGACCAAAAGAAAATAGTCGACCACAGTTAAAAGGTATCTAACCTTTGTATACCTGACCCAGGGATGCGGCAGCAACAGGTTTAAGACTAATATCTGCAAAAAGTTTTGACACTGGAGCACCCAGTTGCTCTTCAATGCATCGCATGGCAACAGTAGTTGGAAACGGAGGAATCTGGTCCTATAATCATCAAGAAAAAATACATTATCCAATTATTCAAGCATAGCCATATGGATAATTTGAAAGAAAGAAAGAAAGATTGCCCACCTGCAACTTTGAAAGTTCCTGACAATATATAGATGGTAATATGTCTGGTCTCGTGCTCAGTGCCTGTCCAAGCTGCAAATCAAATGATGTATCATTTTAACGAGGATTTTAAAAGAAAAGACCAAGATTAGTATATTTAGGGGAGTATTGCAATGGCGAATAAGCAACATACCTTAATGTAGAAAGGCCCCAAGCTGATAAGAGTCTCACGGAACTGCATCCAAAATATGATATACTATCAAATAAATTATTGGCCGAGCCATGTATCCAAAAAGTACTCTTCATGTTAACATATTAAACAAGTATTAGCAAACAACAAATTTTCATAGGTCGCGAACTTACAGACCTTTACAGCCCGTTTCCTCATATCCTGAACAAACAACTGCCAAAAGGCAAGCTTCACCACATGGTACGAAATGATTGCAGCTCTATACAAAGCCAAAAAGGGGCCAAAACGATACACTGCGGAAAAACTTTTCGAGCTATATGCTCCTAGGGCATGTCCAAATTCAGTTTCAAGGGATTCTCTCCGCAACTTTGCATACTCCGCCGTAGGTATTCCACCATGTACGCTGGTGAAACCCGTCGAATACCTGCAAACCCATTTTCAAAAAACGATTAGCCCCAAATCCTGATAGGTTGTGTATCCACAAATTACTCAGCATGATCAAGAACTCACATTCTCTGTTGCAAGCAAAATGGTGAAACCCATGTATTTGTCTGTCTTGAGAGCCCATTATCCTTCCCTCTCGATATGTACTCCCCAAGCTTGAAGTCAATAGTTTTATCATCACGTAACGCTACAACTATAACAACAACAACAACAATCTCATCCACATAAAGTTCAATCTCCAAAAGGAAAATAGAAAATCTCAGTAGCAACATTCATCACTATTTTAGCATAATACACGTCTTCTTCACTGAAACTGAGCTTGAGCAACGATGGAATTACAAAGCAAAGAGTAATCAGCATTACAAAACTAACAGCCCAGTTTCCAAATTCCCCAAACGCAGAAATTTTCTAATCACAATTCTAGTAAATCAAGTGGATTCTCGAGTCAGAAATCCAGAATTTCAACACGAAAATCATCCACACCCGCAATTTCTACCGAATCACATCAAAATTTCCTTCAAACGCAAGACCTATAAAGAGAAGAAAAGCGTACTTCTCCGGAGCAGCGAAACACGGCGATGATGGCGGAGAGCAACAACGACATTCCTCATCGGCTAACAACAAGAACGAAACAACGATCTATTCAGTCGAAAAGCAAGCGAAAATCCCATAGTCCGTTTGATTTCACCACTCGTAGCTTTTATGCACAGAAACTGTTCGATAAAATGCGTAAACGAGATCGTCCGTCCGAAGAAGAAGAAGAAAGTTTTGAGTGTCTCTCTCCACGTAAGAGCCGAAGGAAGCAACACAGAGCAAAGTCACCGAGAATTAGTCGCCACGTCCATGACACGTGGCAAATTCCGAGACAGTCGGCGTTACTGTTTACTCGGAGTCGTATAAACTATCTGGGCCGTATCAGGCCCATAAGTCTTAGGCCCATAAGGATAACATTGCTTCTGTACCCAAACAGAATTGCAAAAATTTCAAATCGGAGAAGGGATAAATCGACGACGACTGTTTCTCTCACATAGACTAACCTTAGTCGTCGTCTCCGGCAGAGAAATTTAGGTGAAGTAAAGAGAAAGATCGAATCCGATTGAGAGATGGAGAAGTCTGTGGATCTAGTACCGGCGATGGTTGTATTTCTCGCCGCAGTTCACGTTATCGCCTTGGTACTACTTTCACTTCTTTCTCATCGTTTTACTTTTATGCTCTGTTTCGAATTAGGTTTTGCAGCGACGATCGTTGATCTGTTTTCGGATTATGTGATTTTTTAGGTTTACTGGATTTATAGATTGGCCTCTGATCGTCCACCTCAGAGAAAAAAATCTCAGTGAGGAAACGTCGATTTCGACTGCGATTCATCGATTGGTGTGTTATTGTTTCCGATCTGATTTTGCGTTTATAGGCGTTTTTGTGATTTGTTAAGTTTTGATGACGACTTTGTCACTGAGTATTTTATTTGGAATTGAACTTTTAGTTTCGACATACCCGCGTAGTAGGGATTGGCTATGGAAAAAAAAAATCTTTGCTCAAACATTATTGTTAATGAAGGATGTGTTCTTTGTTCTTGGTCTCATCCAACACTTTTTTCAATTGCCAATGTTTCTGCAGCACCATTGATTGATTGATTATTGGTTGGTTTCAAAGAGCCTATTACTACAATCTTCTGTCTAAGTTTTTGTCTTTGATGTAACTCTATTTAAGGTAGGGATTTTGGTTTCTTAGAGCCGCCTTGCCTGTAAGTCCAAACTTATGAACCTCAAAGAAAGGTGGAAATTTTGATTGTTGATGAGTGACCAAATTAAGGAGAAGCAATGTAGATATGATTATAAGTTAAGTCGACCTAAAGAAAGACCAGAGAGGGTGTGGTTGTTAGATTGGTCATGTTTTTTTCAATGGAGTTTTGACTTTTGAGTGAAGGATAAAGACTTTAGATTTTTCTTTCTTTTTTGTCAAACACAGAGACTTAAAGATTTGATAGTCAAAAGTCCAACTCTAAATTTAGGGAGCTATATTGGACGTTGGATTTTCGGTTTAAAATTCGAAAGAGTTTACTGTGTTGTTCAATTGTTACTATGAGAAACAACTTAGTAGGTTGAACCAAAAAAAAAAAAAAGAGAGAAACAAATTAGTTGTTTGAAGAGTTGCCGGAGATCGACAAACAAATTAGTTCTTGACTTCTTGTGATCATCATTACCTCATTTTTCTAGCCTATTATTGCATTACTTTCGAATAACGTGATAACTAGTCAAAATTTGGGATTTATTACGCAAGATATGCCATAGTGAAAAGTTTGTTATGAATTTTTTTTTTTTTTACATTTTTGGATCAACAAGGCTCAATCTATAGTCAATCTCTACTACGCGGGGTAACGCAACTTAGTGGAGTTGAATTCCGGTGGAGAATGCGGAGTCAAATGGACTTAACCAATTGATTAAAGACACATCTCCCAGTTTGTAATTATGATTTATGAATATAATTTTTCACCTTTGATGGGAGACATTTAAGCTATAATTACAAATAATTTGAACAGTTAGACAATTACTAAGGATGGGTAGGGGCATACTCTCTCATAGCTCATAAGAGCAAGACCCACTATTCCACTTATGTTCAACCATAGTTAAATTTGAAACTTTTTCTTGATCTCCCTGAGATTTAATGAAGGGAACCATAATTTATAGACACATTTTTGTTCAACACATGTCTATTCAAAAAAAGTTAATGATATCAATCTGGTCAAAACCTAGAACGAATCTTTTTTATATTAATAGTGGTTTTAGTTATTTAAAATAATAATAATTTTGTAGTTCAAGAACTGCAAAAGAAGTTTTCTTGTTTTGGTAAAAAATTTAAACATATAACAACAATAAGAAGAAACATTCTAATCTAATAGCCTCTATACCAATATACTATTCTTAGTGATTTTTGATATTAAATATCAGGTTTTAATTAATATATGCAATAAATATCTCTAAGACTAATTAGTTTGAGTTGAACACCCTTAGACTTTATGATCGTAGTTCAATTTGTTGATCTAAACGAAATAAAATCAAACATGATTTATTACCGATTCTATTCTAAAATTAAAAGTCGGTTCGAAATAGACGATAAAAAATTGTCAATTTGTGAGAGAGTGATAAAAATTGAAAACCATGAAATTAAAGATTGATGATATTTACAAACTAGATACAACTCATTTAATAACACCCCTTATTAAAAGAGAAACCAACCCTCTCAAAAACTAAAAAAATGTTAGTTATTAGGTTCATAATTTAATAGAAATAAATCAATAATAGTCTGACATTCATAAAATAAAACGGTCCAGTGATAGTGAGAGCTCGTGTTAAAATCACATTTTTAGGGATTGGTGCCCAAAGAGTAATACAATCAGATCCCACCACTTGGAATAGAGTCAACCACCCGAGAGAAATCAACGAATCAAACGCCATGAATCAAATCAAAACCACCACCGACGAAAACAAAAACTCCAAACCGGCCAAAACCGAATCAATCACCACCGTACCGGAATGGATAACCAAAACAATCAACGGTGGATCATTCCGCCACGTAGATCTCGAAACCGGAACCAACGGCTGGGCTTCACCACCAGGCAACGTCTTCACTCTCCGCTCACATAACTACTTCACCACAAAACAAAAATCTCCCGGCGGCGATTACCTCCTCTCTCTCGCCGCCGTAGACTGGCTCAAATCCACCACAAATAAACTCGATCACATCCTCTCTCGTCCCGATAACCGTGTAATCCACGCTCTCAAAACCTCCAAATCTCGTAGCTTCATCTTCGCTGTAAATTTCCAGGTCCCGAACTATAACATGGTCCTCTACTTCGCAACACAAAAACCAATACCTTCCGATTCACTCCTCCACAAATTCATCAATATAGACGACGATTCATTTCGCGACGAGAGATTCAAAGTCGTTAGCAATGTTGTGAAAGGTCCTTGGGTGGTTAAAGCAGCAGCTGGGAAATTTGGTGCGTTTGTTGTTGGAAAGACTGTGAAATGTAGTTATTATAGAGGAGTTGATTATTTTGAGATTGATGTTGATGTTAGTAGCTCGGCGATTTTGGCGGCGCTTACGAGGTTGATGCTGGGATATGTTACGAGTTTGGTGATTGATGTTTGTTTTGTTGTGGAGGCGCAAACGGAGGAGGAGTTACCGGAGAGGTTGATTGGTGGTGCTAGGATTTGTTCTATGGAGTTATCGTCGGCGTTTTTGGTTGATGATGATGATGATGAGAAGAAGAGTTTGCAGTGACGGCGGAGAATGATGGGTGCGGCGGAAGAAAACGACGATGAGGATGAGATTTGAGATTTGAGATTTGAAAGGCTACGTTAAAAAAAAAAATTAAGTCAACGTTACTTTTTTTTTTGGGTTATAGAAAAATAATTAGTGTTTTAATCCACGAATAGGACAAGATTTGAGATTCTGTTTTTTGTTTACTTTGTTTTGTCGACCCATTGTCGATTGGGGTCGTAATATGAAAATTTTAAAGATTAATATTGGAATATTGAGTTTTTTTTAAACATAGAGAAAGAGTGAAAAGTTTATGTAGTTTCGTTTCGATTATGTTTACTACTAATAAATTTTAGAGATAAGTTGAGAATTAGTACGTTTTCCCAACATAATTGGAAAAGTAGTACACTCACTATTTACAATTGGCAAACTCATCATTTGCTGCTGTAGCTTTTTTGCCACTGACCCCTTTGCCATCCAAAAAACTGATTATTTACCTCTCCATGCCATTGTCTTTATTTTTTAAAGAAAACAAAAAACCAAATATTTATTTATTTTTTCCTTTCCATCGTCTTCTCCAACTCAATTACAACAAACCTTTTTTTTTATTCTTCTATCATCTTCTCAGATTTTATTATAACAAAAGAACAATCCATGTTTTCTTGGATCTTTGATTTTTAAAGTAAAGATCATCATTTTTTAGATCTGGGCTTAGACAAAGACTCTATTTTTTTCACTCTTATTTTTTTGGTTAAAATCTCTTTCACTCTTATTCTCTTCATCTTCTCCGAGACTCCGACGACTCCATTGCCGTTCTTCAGAGGTGATTTGAATTTATGCCTTAAAAACACCTTCACTGTGACTATTCCTATGCAAAATTTTCAATCTCCGATTCCATTGACGATTCAACATGCGCATAAGAAAGGAGATTACAGTACTAATAACGGTCGGGATTCTCCTTCTCAACGACTCGGTGTCAAGATCTACGGAGACCAAGATCTACTTGTAGCTTTCTGGGTAGAATTTTGGTGGTGGAGAGAGTTGAAGATTTGATTGGAGCAGGTAAATAAAAAAATTTGTGGATCTCTCTATTTCTTGCTAATTTAATTTGATTAGGCTCCTGGGTTTGATCGGATCTAGCTATGGATTTATGGAATTCATTGTATAATTCATTGAATTTAGGGTTCAAAGTTTCTGATTCATCTCCAGTAACCTTTTTGAGTGTACTTAATTTGGATTATTTGATTTACATATGGAAGCTTTGTCTTCTCTTACGTTCAAGGGTTTTGTTCCAGAAGCTATATTTGAAGCCAAAGGGCAGAAGAAGCTTTTTGTTGTTTATATCTATGGTAATTCTTGTTAGGTTTGGAGACCTTTCAACTCATTTATATATGCGTTCTAATCATCCAAGAATATGACTTTTTAACAAAAATTTCAACATTGAAGAGAGTCATAATCATATTGTGAGCTCAATCTCAAAACTTGATCTCTCATAGTAAAATGGATTTGTATTTTAAATTTTAGGAGAGGATAAAGGAAGACATTTAATTATTAACATGAGGCAAAGCAGAAAGACATTTAATTATTAACATATATATTATCATTGGGTTGTTATATATAAAAAGTTAATGGGATATTTTTGAAGAGTAAAATGGCCTAACCTCGATTTGATTATGGAGTGATCGAACATAATCTATGATGACATCAAGCATTAAAACTTTAGAACGGATAAACTGTTTTGTTTTTAAAACTTTAGTAACCATTCTAGAATGTTTCAGAATCGGAGTTGTGCTTGTGTTTAGGATGAAACTGTTTTGTTTTGAGAAGATTGGTTCATGAATGATGTTTTGAAACATAAAACTAAGAAGGCTGCAACAAGAAGAAGCTTCATGTGTTCAATGGACTGGATTATTTTTTGTATTCATAGGTTTTGAAAAACAGGAAAGAGAGAGAGATTCAATGGACTTAAAATAATGAACTCGTTTTAAACATATGGAAGGAAATATATCCGTCCAGCTAGAAACATGTACAAATATAATGATTGTATCTTTCTATAATTATTTGTGGACTTAAACATATAATTATTTGTGCTCAAATCTTCATTCCACATACATCTTTCTGTACAGATGTATCCTTCTGTACAGCTGTATCTTTCTGTACAGATGTATCCTTCTGTACAGATGTATCCCTCTGTACATTAGTTTATATCTGTACAGTCATTCTTCTGTACAGTCATTCTTCTGTACAGTACCAACTGACTAATTCTCCAATTTTGAATAGTAAATATTACTACATTACAAACATTAATGAGCATTGGTCTATATCTGTACAGTGGTCTATATATGTATTTGTACAGTGGTCTTCTGTACAATGGTTTATATCTGTACAGTGGTTTATATCTGTACAGTCATTCTTATGTACAGTGGTCTTCTGTACAGTGGTATATATCTGTACAGTGGTCTATATCTGTACAATGGTTTATATCTGTATATATATTATTTGTACAGTGTTCAGTAATATAGATTTTAAAAATTATAAAACAAAATGCATATCAAATGATAGAGAAAAAAACATAGATTTTTATGTATATGATCAATTTTTGAAAAATAAAATTTACGAACGAGCATTTTAATTATTAAACTTTGAGGGAATGAAATATAATAAAGAAAGAAAAAAAAATTTTAAAAAAAAAACCCTGACCCACACTCTCTCTCTCACACCCACACTCTTATACGTCTCACACTCACACTCTTATACGTCTCACACTCTCTCACCAAATTATAAATAGTAACGGTACTAGTTCTACAATTAAGTTTGGAAAAGGTACTAGTTTCCCAACAAACCCTTATATTCAAGGAAATTGAAACGAAAAACATATTACTTTCGAACGAGTATGTAATGTTTTGGATGAGTAGGATCGTTGAATTTTTTTTGAGATTGTGTTTTTACAAAGTTGTATTTGCTGGTGCACTTGAATTCTAATATACAGTACAAACTGACTAATTCTCCAATTTTGAATAGTAAATATTACTACATTACAAACATTAACGAGCATTGGTTTATATCTGTACAGTGGTCTATATCTGTACATTGGTCTATATCTGTACAGTGGTCTATATATGTATCTGTACAGTGGTATTCTGTACAGTGGTATTCTGTACAGTGGTATTCTGTACAGTGGTATATATCTGTACAGTGGTATATATCTGTACAGTGGTCTATATCTGTTCAGTGGTCTATATCTGTACAGTGGTCTATATCTGTACAGTTGTCCATATCTGTACAGTGGTCTATATCTGTACAGTGGTCTATAATATCTGTACAGTGGTCTATATCTGCACAGTGGTCTATATCTGTACAGTGGTATATATCTGTACAGTGGTCTATATCTGTGCAATTGTTTATATCCGTACATACATTATTTTGTACAGTGGTCTATAATATAAAATTTAAAAGTCATCAAACAAAATGCATATCAAATGATAGAGAAAAAACATAGATTTTTATGTAAATGATAAATTTTAGAAAAAAAAATCACTAGTTATTTGTGCTCAAATCTTTATTCCACATTCATCTTTCTGTACAGGTATATATTTGTACAGATGCATCCTTCTGTACAGTGTTTTATCTGTACAGTCATTCTTCTGTACAATGTTATATATCTGTACAGTGCTCTTTATCTGTACAGTGGTCTGTCATCTGTACAGTGGTTTATATCTGTACAATCATCCTTCTGTACAGTGATTTATATCTGTACAGTCATTCTTCTGTACAGTGGTCTATATCTGTACAGTCATCCTTTCTATATAGTAGTCTATAATATAAATTTTTAAAAAATTATTAAATAAAATGCATATCAAATGATAGAGAAAAAAATATAGATTTTTATGTATTTGATAAATTTTAGAAACAAAAAATTCACTAACGAGCATCTTAATTATGAGACTTTAGGGGAATATGAGATAATAAAGAAAAGAAAAGAAATTAAAAAAAAAAAACATGACCCACGTTTCTCTTTCTCACAAATACAAAGCCCCTAGTAGTAATTTCCACTCTCTTACACTCTACCCCACTTTCTCTCCTATCTCACACAAATTCTATTACACAAACACTAGTAATTGACTGTTTATCTAATTATAAATAGTACTCGTACTACTTTCCCAATTATTACTCACAAACGTACTATATTGCCAACAAACCCTAAATTTTAAAGATTAAAACATAAGGATAAGTTACTTTGATTCGGAATCCTAATCAGAAACAAAAAAAAATACTGGTAAAGATGAGTCTGTCATCTACCAACCATATTTATTCGGATTATTTCGCATAATGTGGTATATATTCCATCGGCAACTTTTCAAGAGTCTATAATATAAATCCCACTGACGACCATCCATACGACCCGTATTGAAGTAACTTGGGAAAGAAGACAGCGGACCAAGTCCGTGAAGTCCGTGAAACCGAAATCAAATAATATTTTAGATATATTATTGTGATAAAAATTAAGAGATTTAGAATATTTATTTATTCATGTTTATCTATTTTCTAATCTGATTAGGTTAAGCCTAAATTAGTCTATATATATTGTATCAATTCTCTTGAGATCAATAACACATAATAAAGAGTTTTCCTCCAAATCCTTCTCTAGTTTGTACAAGCCGCTTAGGCGACGAACTCCACTATTTTTCTTTCAAATGTAGATTTGACACTTGCTAATTGCAACATATGCTTACGGAATTAATACAACAGATTTACGGTTTACGGTTTGACATTTTATTAAGAATGAAATTTAAAAACTTAAACCAAACATAACAATTAAAAAGAGAAGCTATTTCTTAAACATGTAAGTAATAGCTGATCCGATAGGATAGACAAAATCACAGTCACTTCCACTTCCTCTCTTGTTGGAGTAACTTGGGAATGCCCATTTGATGAATTGCATTCTCTGGATCAAACGCAAACCCTTTTCTTCAGCTAGAGCCTTTATATCCCTCTTGTTAAATGCAGGTAGTGTGTTTAGAGTGATATGAATCTCTCCATCTTCGTCTTTCATCATCTTTCTCGCACTCTCCATAAATCCTCCTAATACCTTATCATGTTTCCTGTGAATTGCACACTAAAATGTTGAATATACACGAGGATAAACATACAAGAATGATATGTTACGATAAGGGATGGACTCATTTCGGATACTATGTAATTTTTGGAAATTTGAATCCATGGTACATAACTACATATATATCCACCTAGAAATCATGTTATCCGCATGTATCCAACTACACAAGAAAAAGTTTTTTGTAAGAATTTGAAAACCTTTTTTCCTACAATATAAAAAATTTACACTTATAAAAAATGTAATATTTTGAGGTATATATTCCTTTATTTATGATATAATTTTGTTTTTAATATTATACATATATTTATAAAATTATACAGTATATAAAAGTGGTTCCGAACATAAATTAAATCCAGAGTTTCAAATCAAATGTCACGATCTTGTTATTAAATCTCCAAAAATCTTATTTTTGATAGGATCTTAAAGAAGCTCATCAAAACTTTACCCTGCATGAGGAAAATTAAAGATGATTATGTCGTAATGAGCTAAGCGTTCGTCTGCGGTCATGGAGTGTTCGTTAACACCGCGGACCACGGTGCACCCAAGTCTCTCCAACTCTTCCACGTTCACTTTTCCATTGTTGTAGTTACGCCCTAGCTCCTCTACCATACATAACATAATCGCCAAACTTGATAAGCTATTGTTCTCTATATTTGACAATACAAAGTTTAGAAAATGATTGACAATTATAGATATACTACTATACCTCGAATATCAAGCGATAATGCAGTGATGTTGGTGGCAGAACCAAAGGCTTTGGCTAAAGATAAAGAAAATGAAAACTCTCCTTCTCCGACCACGAGTATATTTTTTGCTCGTTGCTATATCGACTTAACCTTTTAGATTCCTGAACATCCATTTCATCATCAGTTGCATGTTTAGACTGTTTAGTCAATTCACACCATGTCCTTTTATACACATGTATATACACATCATACGGATGCATGCATGAGTCAAATTTTAGAGAATCTTAAATGTTGGAATTTGTAATTCGTCTCTTCGAATTTGGTGATCATTTTTATGTACTTTTGAAAAACTATTCATTTTTTTTGGTTGTTGAAAACCATGATCATATTCTTTTTTTTTTTTTTTTTTTTTTGTTAAAGGAAGAACCATTCATATTCTGTAAAGAAGAGAGTCAAACTTCTTGTTTTGTTTTTCTTGGTTCAAAAATTCTTTCTATCACGGATTAGTTTAAGATCATGAATGGCCCTATTAAATATGATTATCATATAGTAATAATACTTAGGAAGAAGACTAGTAACTAGCTCGTTTTACATTCTTTATCTAATGATAAAATGACATTTAATAAATATTACTGTCAATTAGTATTATGTTTATAAATAACAACATTTTCAAAAGTTAAATATCATTATCATTTTCAAGTATTTCATAAAATAGAATCAAATTTTGAGTAACAAAAGTTATTAGTTGGTGGCAAGCTTTTCTGTCTATTTCAGTATTTCTATCAAACAAAAGGTGACAACATCCCAAAGTCGAGAAATGAAAATGGGCTTTTTGGTATATTAACAAAATCAGTAGTGGTGAGAAGATCTACTTTTGATCCAACGATTTCCGAACACGTATTTAAAAGAGGAAATACAAAACTATTTCTGTTCCTTTGTTTGGCTACTTATCTTGAAAAAGCTTAGATATTTTCTTTTTTTGGGGAAATACTGAATTAGAAATACACAAATTAAATTCTTTCAGATTCATTGTATTATAATATAATTGAGATATGTGGTCATATATAAGTCGGCTATCTTTTTCCCTTTAATTATTTTTATACTAGATGAATACCCACGCTACGCGTGAGTTTGTTTTGAAAATTGTGAAGAAAAAATTATTGATAGTTCTTGCTAATTTATGTTTGTTTTTTATTTGTTATTATGTAATTAATAAAACTAAATCTATCTTATGTAGTTACAATTTTTAAGATTAGATCTATTTTTTGACTTGAAATATAACCCGAGAAAAAGACTTACTTGTCAGCTGAGACCTCTTGCTTGTTCCCGTAATATCTTTCATCGTCCTCATGGCTCTACTAGTTGGTCAGAAGGTACTTTATCAGCTTTCTCAATATCTATTATAGGTACAAAGTTTTTTTGTCCTTTTTGAATGGGATTCATTGAACTCTCTCGTTTATATTTTCAAGGGATACAAAAATTCTAGCTGCACAATACGGACCTAAAGCAGGAACGAAGAAGAACGAAAATGCTAAGAAGGCTTGTTTTGAAGTCATATGGAAGCTTTAAACCGGATAGATTGGTAATCGTAAATGCATTTAGTTTTTTAGAAGGAGGCTTGTTTTGTTGCTTGAGTATGTCGTACAAGTGATTCTTGGTTTTTAGATCTGAATAACTTTTGCTTTGAATATTGATAGGAAAAGCTGAAAGGGAGTATGAAACGATACTGAAAAAGACGCTATAGAGTATTTGTGTTTTGACAGTTGTTCCAAATACTACCACCTCAGTGATAATTCAGGTGAGTAGCTATTCAATGTTGTGTATATCGATATTGTCAACTTGAGTTGTATCTGCTGTTTTCATTTTGTAATTCCCGTGTAGGTTGTACATGATGGTGGTTCTGTATCGTTTTTATGTTCCTTGCACCTTGGTAAACATTTACTGATGCTGTATGAAACACATATAATCCGGTATAAACAATGTCTGTTTGAGTATTTATAGAGTTTATAGTAGTGAAAGTTTGTAATCCCATAAGCTGAGAGTGTGAATATGTTTTTCTGTAACTTCTACCGTGGCCTCCATTATGGCAGTTAGAAGGTAGAAAATGTTTGTTCTAAAGAAATATGATGTACAGAAAGGGAGACTATGAAGGATGGAATTTACGAAGTCGAGAAATTTGCCTTGAGATTCTTCTTCTTTCATATGGAACGATCGAGGAGAGAGTGGGAGAGATTTATTTTGTTAAAGTCTTGTGGGGAATTAGAATATTTGTTGGGTTAGAAACATTAAGCCATCACTGAAATGGGCTCGACCCATAAATATTGCACTCTAATAGATTCTAAAACACATATGGTCCATCCGTCATGGGCTATTTTGTTTATTCCATCTGACACTTATAATTAGAAGCTGATGTGTATTAATGAAATGTTTTGATTGGACGAATAAAAAGCTGATTTGTCATCTCCAGAAGAGCCAAAAATGCTGACGTGGCGGAAGGATGGAGAGAGATAGCCTCCTTTCATATATATGATTCTTTTTCTTCATTTTTGTTCTTCATACGAAAACATGTCAACGAAGCTTGACTTATAACTTGCCTACGTTAAAAGATTCATCTTTTTTAAGATCTAAGATCAATCCTAGAAACACACTTCAGACAACTCTTGTCCTTGGATCTGTTTTTCAGACCAAACCCATATATATCAAAAGTTTTGAACTCAAAACGGAGCCAAATCTTGAATCTTTAACTCCGTACAAGACCAGTTATGGAAATAGAACAACAAAACATTGGAAACAGCGGATCCATTAATGTGGGCGAAAGAGAAAGTAAGTTACGTAATGTGGTGTGTGGTCCAATGCGGTGGCTAAAGATGTTGGCTTCACAGCTTCACTGGAGCTATGTGTTTGGTGTGGTCTCAGTTTATGGAATAAATCAAGGGTTTGGTTACTCATTGGATCGTGTAGCTACAGATTATTAAATGAAAGATGTTCAAAAAGTTCAGCCTTCTAAGTCTCAAGCTCTCACTACAATCACTAGGATTCCATGGATCATTAAGCCTCTTTGGGGCATTCTCACTGATGTTGTTCCTATCATTGGTTTCCATATACGCCCTTACTTCATTTTAGCCGGTAAATCTCGCTCGAAACCAGAACAAAGTCTCTGCAATTGTCTCTTTAACTATACAAATTTATATTGTGTTGTCCTGTATTATTGCAGGGGTGTTTGGAGTGGTTTCTTTATTGTTCATATCCCTTCGTAGTAATCTACACCTTTACTTGGCACTGTTGTGGATGACAATATCAAGTGCTGCAATGGCGATTGCGGATGTAACTATTGATGCTTGCACTGCGTACAATAGTATCAAACACCCTTCTCTTGCATCGGATATGCAGACCTTATGCCTCTTAATCTCCTCCATTGGAGCACTTCTTGGTTTCTTCATGAGTGGCATCTTAGTTCATCTTGTTGGCTCCAAGGTTAGCGAATCGTTTGCTGTGATCTCTCTGTCATTTATGATTCCTCTCTAATGTTGTGTTTCACTTTTTGGACATTAGGGCGTGTTCGGTTTGTTGACATTCCCGTTCGCATTAGTATCGGTAGTCGGGATTGTGTTTAGTGAGCCCCATGTTCATGGTTTCTCTTACAAACAAGTAGTTATATTCTATCTTGAATACTTACTAACATGAGATTATTGACTCTTGTTGTATCACTTCTGGTAAACTAGAAATTTACCGATGCAGGGAAAGCGATGTGGAGGACAATGAAGTGCTCAGATGTGTGGCGGCCGAGTCTGTATATGTACATTTCCCTTGTTTTTGGTTTTGACATTCAAGGTCTTTTCTATTGGTTCACAGATTCAAAGGATGGTCCTTTGTTTGCTCAGGTAATCCCTAAACAAGCAGCTTCTAATTTCAAAATCCACCCGAAAATGCGTAATACGTTATGAGCTTTTTATGTTTGTTTCAGGAAACGGTTGGTTTCATTCTCTCAATTGGTCCAATAGGGTCGATTCTAGGAGTATTGTTGTACAATTTAGTCCTAAAGGATCATCCGTTCCGTAGCCTATTTTCGTGGACTCAACTTCTCTTTGCTTTATCCGGAATGTTTGACCTCATTCTTGTGCTACGTCTCAACTTAAAATTTGGTTTACCGGATTATCTATTCATAGTAGTGGACGAGATAGTTTCGCAGATGATCGAACGCCTAAAATGGATGTCGCTGCTCGTCCTCAATACAAAGCTTTGTCCTCACGGAATCGAAGGGACTTTTTTTGTGTTGCTAATGTCAATTGACAATGCCGACCTCATGACCTCGTCTTGGCTCGGAGGAATATTGTTGCATGTCCTCAAGGTGACTCGGACTGAGTTTGGTAACCTCTGGCTTGCGGTTTTGGTCAGGAATGTCATGAGACTTTTGCTGCTCTGTTTTCTGTTTCTTGTGCCCAAAGGAAATCAGAAAACGTTCAAGCTCCCGAACAGGGCCGGCCCAAAGGATTTAGATGCCTAAAGCCCAAAATTTTTTTGTTGCCCATTAACCAACAAAAGTACAAAAAAATGTTAAAATTTAGTCTTAAAGTCACTCGAACCCGTCAACTCCCGCCAAAAATGAGACACTAACCACTGTACTACCAGATCTTTTCTGAAATATGATGCCCCTTAAAACTTAAAATATAATCTGATGCCTAAAACACCTGCTTGATGGGCTTTAGGTCTGGGCCGGCCCTGCTCCCGAATGAGATAATGGGTGAAGATTCGGAAAACGACAACTTGATAAACTCAGCAAACTCTCTCTAACTCTCTTTAACAACACATATGGATGCATGAGTCAAATTACGAGAACTAATGTTAAATGTTTGGTAATGTCTCTTCGAATAACTTTATGATCATTTATGTACGTTGAAGACCATTCATATTTCTTTTTTTTGTTCAATTTTTTCTTTTACGACGGTTTTATTTTAGTTTAGGATCATCAATTTAATTTTGGCCCTAATAAATAAGATTATCATACACTTACGAAGGAGTGAGAGTGACTTGCTCGTTTACATTCTTTTTCTAGCAATGAAATTATTATGTTTATAAAAAACCTTCTTGATAAAGATTTATATTTGCGAAAAAAAAAAATTCATAGTTTCTAAAAATACATAGAATTTTTTAAAAAATTTTGTAATAGGTTTATCAATGACAACCACTACAATAACTTCCAAAAGTTAAATATCATTATCAATTACAAGTATTTCATAACATAAAAATATAATAATGAGTAACAACAGTTAGTAGTTGGTGGCAAGCTTTTGTCTATTTCTATATAAATTATCAATAAAGTGGACAGCATCCCAAAGATGCTGGGATATATTTCTTATGCTATAAAGAAATGAAAATGGGCTTTTTGGTATTTCATAATCAGCGGAGAAGAAGTAGTGGTGACAAGATCTATTTTTGATCCAACGATTTCCAAACACGTATTTAAAGAGAAGTTCCTATGTTCAAAAAAAAAAAAAAAACAAAACTACTTCTAGCTGTTCCTTTGTTTGCCTTATCTTGAAAAGCTTTAGATATTTTTCTTTCTTTCTTTTTTGGGAAATGCTGAATTAGAACTTTAGAAGACAAATAATGCATAACTTAAATTCTTTCAGATACATTGTATTTCTAATATATACTTTAAAGTTTACGTAATTTTAATTACAGATCTACAAATTCTTACGTATGACTTCAACAAGAAAAAAAACAAAATAAATTCTTATGTAAAGAAAGAAAAGTCAAAAGTATTAGGTGACTTTGATGCAAAACCAAGCTTAATTTCATTTCAACTTTGTTGAATTAATATTATCAACAAATCATACAATTTCTTCTAATGAAAAAATGAATAAATGAATAAAAAAAGTTTCTATTGTTGAGGTAAAATTGCAAAAAAAAAGCTGGGAAAAATAGACAAGAATGTTCTTAGGAAGAAACAAAACAGAGATGTGTGTTTGGTCAAACATTTAGCAGCAAAAGCTTTGACCTTTTCCTTTCGTCTCTCTTGATCTGAATTTTATCCTTTCGTTTCTTTATTCATTCTCTTCTTCTTCAATGGCCATTTGTTGTTCATACGAAAACAGGTCAACGAAGCTTAATGTCTACCAATTTCATTCTTGTTTCTTGAGCTTTAATTCAAGATTCATCATTTTTGATTCTTAAATCTTTGTTTTTTGACTTGCTTACATCAAAAAGATTCATCCTTTTTTTTATAATCTGAGCTCAATCCAATCCAATAGATACCAACTTCAAACAACTCTTGTTCTCGGATCTGTTCTTCACAGTTCAGACCAAACCCATATCAAAAGTTTCAACATTTGAGCTCAAACCAGAGCCAAATCTTGAATCTTCCCCTAGAACCAGTTATGGTAGTAGAAGAAGAGCAAAACCTTGAAAACGGTGGATCCGTACATGTGGTCAAAGGAGAAAGTAATTTCCGTAATGTGGTGTGTGGTCCTGTGCGGTGGCTAAAGATGTTGTCTTCAGAGCTTCATTGGAGCTTTGTGTTTGGTGTGGTCTCACTGTACGGTATAAACCAAGGGCTTGGTGGCTCATTGGGTCGTGTTGCTACAGAGTATTATATGAAAGATGTTCAAAAAGTTCAACCTTCTGAATCTCAAGCTCTCACTGCAATCACTAAGATTCCATGGATCATTAAACCTCTTTGGGGCATTCTCACTGATGTTCTTCCTATCTTTGGTTTCCATAGACGTCCTTACTTCATTTTAGCCGGTAAATGTCACTCGCTAGAAATCGGATCAAACTCTCTGCAATGTTCTCATTGATTATACTGTGTGTTTTGCAGGGGTGCTTGGAGTGGTATCATTGTTGTTTATTTCACTGCATAGTAATCTACACCTTTACTTGGCACTGTTGTGGATGACAATATCAAGTGCTGCAATGGCGATTGCCGATGTAACCATTGATGCTTGCACTGCTTACAATAGTATCAAACACCCTTCTCTTGCATCTGATATGCAGAGTTTGTGTAGTTTAAGCTCCTCCATTGGAGCACTTCTTGGTTTCTTTATGAGTGGAATCTTAGTTCATATTGTTGGCTCTAAGGTTAGTGAATCGTCTGTCTACTGTGATCTCTGTCATTCATGATTCCTCTCTAATGCTGTGTTTAAACTTTTTGGACATTAGGGCGTGTTCGGCTTGTTGACATTCCCATTCGCATTAGTATCGGTAGTCGGGATTGTGTTTAGTGAGCCCCATGTTCCTGGTTTTTCTTACAAACAGGTAATTCTATTCTCTCTTCAATTCTTACCAACATGGAGTATTGACTCTTGTTGTATCATTTCAGGTAAACCAGAAATTTACCGATGCAGGGAAAGCGATGTGGAGGACCATGAAATGCTCAGATGTGTGGCGGCCGAGTTTGTATATGTACATTTCCCTTACTCTTGGTTTGAACATTCATGAAGGTCTCTTCTATTGGTTCACGGATTCGAAGGATGGTCCTTTGTTTGCTCAGGTATTTCCAAAACAAGTAGTTTCTATTTTCAAAATTTACTTAATATGTTGAGAACCTTTCTGGTCTGTTTTAGGAAACGGTTGGTTTCATTCTCTCAATTGGTTCAATCGGATCAATTCTAGGAGCAACGCTGTACCAACTAGTCCTAAAGGATCATCCGTTCCGTGGCCTTTGTTTGTGGACTCAACTTCTCTTTGCTTTATCCGGAATGCTTGACCTCATTCTTGTGCTACGTCTCAACTTAAAATTTGGTTTACCAGATTATCTCTTCATAGTAGTGGACGAGATAGTTTCTCAGATGATTGGACGCCTGAAATGGATGCCACTACTCGTCCTCACTTCAAAGCTTTGTCCTCACGGAATTGAAGGGACGTTCTTTGCATTGCTAATGTCAATTGACAATGCAGGCCTCATGACCTCGTCTTGGCTAGGAGGAATATTGTTGCACGTCCTTAAGGTGACTCGGACCGAGTTTGGTAACCTCTGGCTAGCGGTTTTGGTCAGAAATGTCATGAGACTTTTGCCGCTCTGTTTTCTGTTTCTTGTGCCCAAAGGTGATCAGAACACGTTCAAGCTCCCGGATGAGATAATGGGAGAAGAATCAGAAGATTCAGAAGACGAAAAAGAAGGAACTCGGAATTTGGAATTGGCATCTCTTGTTCAGGCTGTTGATAGAAGATAGCAACAGTATTCTCTTATTATAGTGTTTGAAGCAAATGCTTCAGTTTTTCCAGCAGTTTATACGAACTTCACTTGTACTGCTGCAAAGAGCAATTTTACTGAATACATAGTTTGTGTTTTTTTTGGTATAGAAGAAACATCTCTTGTGATATATCGGGAACCTATTTACTTCCATATCTAAGGAAGTTTCTTAAGAAAAAGCATATGAATCCTGCAGAAGAAACAATGAGTGAGAAATCTTTCAGAAATTGGGATACACAATTACAAGCTGTGTCTGAGAACAAGTTCTACATATCTTCTGGATTTAGAAACACAAAAGGTTAAAATCTTCCAGTCATGCAGAGAACAAACCATGAGGTGAGAACAAGTCTAATCACCATCATCATCATCTCGTGCCTCGTCTGCGCCAATCCCTGTCTCTCTCTTTGCTTCTATCATGATCGTCTCGATCGTGGCTTGAACTCTTTTCACGTCGGTCTCGGTCCCTGTTCAAATCATGTTGCCTATCTCTGTCTCTGTGTCTCTCTCTGTCCCTGTCTCTCTCCAAGTCATGGTCTCTCTCCCTCTCTCTGGTTGATGATTTCCGTGGCGGACTTTGGCTCTGGTTTTCCCCACGGTGCCGCTTTTTAGAAGATTCTTGTGAATCTTCACGCTTCTCTTTCCGCTCTATGATTGATTTCTCTGCAGTTAAAATCAATGTGTAAATTTATATGAAGGGTCAGTTGGATCAACATGAACATGGCCGTATCATGGATACACAGGTGCTGCCAGTGTCCGTGATGAAGACAACAAAAAACAAAAAAGGACCCTCTAAACCTAAAAGAACGTCTTTTAATGAAAATCAAAGCTAAATAAAAAAAACATGGCACACGAAGGTCAAAACCAACAAAAGTCCAAGAGAGCAAAATAATACTTATGAAAGGAGGCATTTAGTTCTTAGTTGTTAGCTATCATTGTCAAACTTCTGGACTTCAAAAGTTTTTATCCAAGAACATACACTGGAACTAGTAATTCAAATTTCCAGTTTTTTGAATCACCAACACAAAAAGAAAGGCAAACTACAGAACAGGTTTTTGGAAATAACTTAAATTCAAATACTTGCCCGCCCTAAATTTAAGTTGGAAACACCAATAGTGTTTGAGACGCACTCACAGATGTGTAATGCCTAAGTTACACGTGAGTATAAGAAACTGAGTTAAAGAATTTGCAAAAAGGTGGCCAAGTTTCGCCCATTGTTGCATCAAACGGACATGAATCAAATTAACAACCTTTCCCAAAACAAAAGAAGAGTATATGTTGGGTGTGAAGTAAAAACTTACGATTTCTGTTGCCCTCGTTAGGTTTGGATAAGCCATAATCAACTTCAAGCCTCTTTCTGTTGATTTCTACTTTTCTCTCTATCTCCTCGGAGTTTTTCATCCCCTGTTCCTCAAGAGTTTCACGATACTCTATCAAAGCAACTTCTATGCGTCTACGCTTTTGTCTGCAGTAACAAAAAACAGAGCAAGGGAGAAGTCTATTGAGTTTCAAATTATACAATTGAATAGCAACTTCTAGTGAAAGTAAGTTCTCATATTTTCTTGTAAACTTTACAGTATTGGTGCAAGCTCATGTATGGGTTAGACACATTTGGGTACATACAATCGATGCATATGCCCAAAAGCTTTCTATGGCTCTCAGTTATCCACCTTAACCAGGTAAGAGCCAAAATACCAAATAATGTGTACTCTATAAAGACCAAATCAATTGAAGTTCACAAGAACACACCTCCCTCACTAACATAGACTACCCTGATGTTACTTTTTTCTCGAACTATTTCGAGGTATTCTTTGTTGTTTTTAATGATCAAGCACCAACAAGAAGCAATAATGCAAATTGGTGTTTTTTAATCCATATTTTGCCTGCTTAAGTTACTTTCCTTATATCTTTTCATAAGGAGATGCATTGATCATACCTTTGTTCCTCGTCCATTCCATTGTCAGGTTGGGCACGGACACCATCATTTCCCTTGACCTCGTCATCGGCCTTGAAAGTTATCCCACCAGTATTGTCACTTCCTGAAGAGGAGCTCCTCTTTTGCTCATCATCAGCTTCGTCATCGTCTCTCGCCCATTTTGAGGCTGGCAATATGAGGTCATTCTTCTCTTTTACCACAAAGGCTTTCAGCTCAGGCTGTGGGATTGGTATTTTCGTGGCCAGATTCACAGGCTCTTTCATTTCAACCTCTGCGTAGCTGTTCTTGATATGCTCCCGCTCACTCTTAACTTCTTCCCAAGTTGAATGGTATTGCGGATGCTTTGAAATTTCATCCACTGCTTCATAGCCACGTAGTTTCTCTGTGTCTTCAAGGCTTAGTAGCCGGGCAACCATCATTACTCTACCTCCTACAAGAGACAGTCCGTTGTGCCGGCAACGTCTCTCAAGCTCAGCAATTGGTAAATTCATCAGCTCTTGCCTTGCAGCTCCTTTGCCTATTGCCAGTGCAGCATCTGGATTGATCTTCCCAATATCACTCATATTGTCAGTGTAACTTTTGTTCTCTATTTCAGGTGCATCACCGCAGATAGAATGAAATGAGGTAACACCAGAGACTCCTGATCGGAGAAATGTGGAACGTAGTCCATATATGTATGCGTCTGAAAAGAGAAACCAATCTGCCCATACTTGCAGTACTTTGAGAACCCGTTCCTGCAAAAAGTCAGAATGAGTTTAGAACAGTATATTTCTAAGGGAAGGAAAACCATCATAGATCAATTTTCTTTCTGACAGTACTTTTAGAGCCTCAGCAGTAATTCTTCCAGTTATGCTTCGATACAGATCATTGAAGCTTTCCATTATATCAGGTAGAGTTGCTTCGAATTTGGTTCGGTATGCAGATGCATTTTTTACACGTGCACTGCTGTTAAAAAGGATATCAGACACAAGCATGAGTCTAGCAACTTTAGTTGGAATTGATGTCTCTTTTAGAGTCAGGGACTCCGTCAAAACTTCAACAACCTGTGGAATAAGTACACATATATAAGTAGGAAGAGGCATTTGAATATCTATTTTATTAATGAGTAATTCTGTTCAGATTTTTTGTGGTGTCTAGAAAAAACCATCTGATTTTGGCCCAATAACAAGTTATCTTTCTAAATATGCTTTAGGCGTATAATGCATTTTTTACTACTGCATACAAACGAACCAATCTTCAGATATTTCCATAACAAATCAGGATTAAATCAAAAGCTTCGGAATGGTATCTATGAAGTATAGGATCTTCAATAAAACTAAATCTACCGAAATATAAGTCAGAACATATAATACCTCTCCAGCTGCATCTGCATTATCTAAAGCGAAACCCATAGCTTCTTTTATCTGACTCCTTTCTAAAGTAAGAGCACGCAACATGTCCTCGAACTCATCCCTCTGAGGATCGGTCAGAGTCCTCTCAACTTCCGCACGCTGTAAAATTTACCAGTGTAAGGTATCCCGCGCACCAAAAGAACAACTTAGTGAACAAAAGAACAGAAATAAATAAATCAGAAGTGAGACTGCAAGAAGATTACCCTGGTTTTTCCCGCTGCATATGTGCTGGCAGACTCTTTTTCGTGCTCCTGGGTCCTAGTTACAGGCAGTGGTGGCGGTATCCATCTGCAATAAGAGCACATAGACAGTGTTAATACAACAGATGTCATATGCAAAAGTAAACCCAACCGAACACCCGGATCAGTTTCAAAGTTGGCAAGGTCAATACCTTCCACTACCAGTTATCATGATATACGGCTCTGTTCTCCACCTTTGAAGTGTATCACCCTAAACAATGCAAAAATATGCAATCAGCTTATGACAATGTAAAGCTCAAGGAGAATCTAAGATATGCCTACTTACTAAGCAATCAAAATGTACCTGAGCGAAGGAATAGAGTCTCCAGACGTAGTAAGTATGCTCCTTTGAGCCAAGCTCGAACAAAAACTTAAACAGTGGATTCCCACGGCCCCTCTCCATGATAGCTTGTTCAAAAGCACATTCACCATCCAGAACATAGAGAGCCAATGTATCAATCACATGTCTGAGGTGCTCGTCCTCAGGGGTAACAACAGTGATATCCGGAACATTAGGGGTAAGAACCTGTTCAACGCAACAGAAGTACATTTGGAATAAGATTATTAAAGACGGGCAGCTGATAAGAGTGTCGTCAACTACAGGTGCCACATCAGTAAGTTAGTCGAACCAGGATCATTACAAACAAGAGAAGCATTAAGTACTGAGACGTGTCGAGTATCTGGGGACTGGTTTAGTGCCATTCGGGGTTTGGGAAAGTAGAGCATGCACTATAAATAGAATTATACCCAAGTTTTTTTTTTTAGGTCTGCTTCTGTCTTTCATTACTTTAAGAAATAAAGACAATCAATTCTGAAACTTAACAGTAACATTTCTGACTATAAAGTAATTCAAAGCCCTCCACGAATATCATATAGAACATAATAAAGAACCAATTCAAGCCATGTGGAACCAAGTTTACATACCAGCTCAGAATTTTGATTTGGAACAGAAGTTATTATTGGTGGACCCGTTTGACCAGAAAAAACCAAGTTGCAGCCCTGCCAATGAAAATATATGAAGTTTTAGAGTTAAACTAAACAGATATAAAACTGGCAGTCAAGAACTTTTTGTGCAAAAAGTGGCAAGGAAATACCAATAAATTCAGAGATCAGGCCCATTCATAGGTTAGTTAATAGAATTAAAGAAGAAATGTATCTAGAAGAGCAGCACAGGATGCATCACAAACCTCTTTACTCCGAATAGCCATATGTCCAGGTGGAGGAGCAGGTAATGCTTGTGAAGGTAGAGAAACTGCTTTACCCCATCCAATTTTCAGTTCATACTCGTACACAATGATCCCTGTAAAATTGGAAAATTTCCTTTTTAACTTTCTTTAACATTGTCACATGCAATCAGGATGTATAGTTAGTACAAAACCAGTCGACCATAGACAGATAGACTAGTCAATAATGCCAGAAAGGTCATTAGCTTCCAACATTGATCAACCACGGGGTATATGTATCGATCAAAAAAGAAAAGAAAAAGGTACCAACAGAAAGCAGTAATAGTGAAGAAAGAAGAGACGGAAGAAACTGCATCAATGAAGAAACAAAAGACAAAGTTCTAGAGTAAGGCAGTACTGGTGACTAAAACTTAACGCCAATGCATGCCTTGTATTGAATATTGGTTACATATGTCTTTGACACTGAAACAGGCTTTGCACATATGAATCCACTCAAATTTTGTTGAGCTGAAGTACTCAAACTAATATGCTATTACAAAGTATAGAGCGTAAAGAGGTTTCCTGTTCAATTATCCATTTTAATCTTACATCACACATGTTGCCTCTACCTAGCGAACGCTTTCTAGCCCAGGCTACAAAGATAGTCCTAGAGAGAAGAGAGGCTAGCAGCTAGCTTACCTTGCATTTCATCTTTTGCAGCTTGTCCATCAGCCCTATTCATGAAGGAAACAAAGCCACAGTTTCTTTGTCGCCTCTTCTCCTCATCTGTTCTTGGCCACATAATCTTGACACTAGCTATGGGTCCAAATCTTCCGAAAGTGCGCAGAAGGAAATTCTCATCAACCTACGTGAGCATAAAGATCATATCTTATGAATATTAAGAAAACATTGGCGAGGGAAAACAACACACGAATCCAAGTAAGAAAAGAAAACACACCTTTGGGGACAGATTACCAACATATAGATTCGTAGTTTGTGGGTCACCATCGTCAAACGATCCTGGCCTTCCACTGGGATCAAAATCATCAGGTAGCTCATCAAAGCGGCTAGATGGCTGAAAACAGAATAAGTTAAATACAGAAAGCAGAGAGTCCAGAGTTAATCTGAGAGCAGAACACCGATGAAGAGAGCGATATAGTATGATGAACTAACCGAGTTATCGCCCTGACGATCACGATCCTGGTTTCGTCTTTCTCTCATTTCTTGTTCACGTTTCAACTCCTCCATGAAATGGTCTATATTTCGAGTCTTTCCCTTTTCTTTTTCCTTAGGCCTCTCCTCCTCCCTCTATAAAGATGAAATAAATGAGCGTATAACTAAACTATTGCCGCTTCAAATGAAGAAACCCAATTACAGTAAAAGAAATACAGTGACATAATCCATGCTACTGACCTTCTTCTCTGGTTCTTTACCCTTAGATGCCAGTGGTGGTGGAAGGAAAGAGGGAACATACCTGCAGAAATTAGGTGGAAGATAATCTTCTATATAACAAGAATACACAAATGGCTATAACCTTATCAAGCAATACCCAAGAACATCATTCCTAAGACCCAAAACTTTTACCAATAAAGCATGAAGACCTCAGCTAGTTACAAATACAGGATTAATAATATTTGCTCAAGCCTCGTAACAACCATATCAAAAGTGTATACTCATGAGCAAAATCAACGAGCGGCCAAACTCGTTCTGTTTACGATAGCAACGCAAGATTGATTCAATCAAAAGCAATCAGTTTTACCTACTCCCCTTCTTTGAAATCGAACCCCCATCTTTGGACTTTTCACCTGCCATCCGCGAACGCATAGAAAAAAGGTCCATACACTTATTAATGTGTTCCCAATATAAATCAAAGCATTGCTCTAACCATTTGACACCATCAAAAAAAAGAAGAACAAAGTACACACAAAGAGAGAAGCAAGAGGTAACAACACTTAAAAAGCCTTTCAAAGACTAACCTTCAGAATCAACCTTAGGCTTGTCACCAGGATTTATCGTCCCACCTCGAACAAAAGTCTTAGTAGTTGCATTATCCCCTTGAAACGATTCCACGAATTCTTGATACAAACGAGCCGTTTCATCCTCCGCTTTCTGTGATTAAGATCGATTAATCAAATCAATCTCCGATGAACAAATTTCTCAAATTCTACCCAAAACAGCGATGAATCGATTAAGATTTTGAACTCACCTTCTTCCGAGCTTCTTCTTCTTCTCTGTGTTTCTGGAATGGCGTTTTCTTTCGAGTGATCGAGAATGAACTCATACTTTCAGCATCCAACTTCTCTTCTGATTCAGAATTAGGGTTTGGAGAAATCGACAAGGGTGACGATTGATCAGGAAGCTAGGGCTCGAGGAGAGAACACAAGACAGAGCTAAAAACGGGAGATAGGGAAAATAATAATTAGGATAAAATATTTGTATTTTCTGTCGTCTTTTAAGAATTTGCCGAATTTCAAATTAATTATTGCGTATGCATAAAATTTTATATATATAAAAAAAAATGTTTACAGATACAAAATGATAATAAACAAAATTTAAATTCTAAAGTGATATTTAATGTTAAATGGAATGAATATATGAATATATTATTTCAAAATATAAAAACTTTTGAAATAACAAGAAGAATTGCAATTTGAGATTGAGATTAAAGAGTTAAGTTCCTCTCTTTAATACAATAAAAAATAAGAAAATTGAGATTTAGAAAGTGATATAAATAAGAAAATTGAGATTTAGACAGTGATTTGGAGTAAGTTTAAGTTTTACATAAATCTTTATATATTGTAGTTAAGGTAGTTCCCGATTTATGTAAAAATTTACTGTACGCAAATTTGTCGAATTGGTTTTTAGAATCGAGTGAGACGTGCAAACTTTATACAAATGTGTCAAATACCACATACTAAATATCAGTTTGCAGTGTTTGAAATGTGTCGAATATGCATATTTTAAATAAGATTACATTCAAGTTTCCTTTCGCTTGGTTTTGTCTTTGTTTAATGAATCATTATTTTTCTAGGTTTCGGTTAATGACAAGATGATAATAAAAGAATATAGGGTTGGCTGATTTTATAGTCATAAACTAGTTGCATTCTCAGCTTTTTCCCCCAACCTTTTTGCCCCTGAAAATTCCACCATAAACTTAGCTAATTCTCACAATTGCAACATGTACTTTCGGATTCATCCTTAAAACTACGCCTCCAATTGAACCGGCCAATAAACCGGTACCACATAACCCGGTTTGATTTAATTCAAATTTAACCAAATTTAAACCTGATTTTGACCCGAATCTTCTTCCTCTTCACCCGATTTTGACCCGATTTATTAGCTTCTAAAACCCTAGGCTTCACACCAAATCCACCACCAGATTTCTCCACCGTCATACCAAATCTCGCCTTGAAATCTGCATTTCTCCACCGAAGCCACTCGATTCCGCCGCCGCGGAGAAGCTTATACTCACATTAATGGAGAAAACACCACAAAGAAGAGTCTCTGTTTCAGAGAAAGAGCTTATTAAAGCAATCAGAGATAAACCATCAGTGAGACTTAACCACGCTGCGACGGAGCTTGACCGGAGACCTAACTACTTCAATTCAAGCTCCGGCGAGTCAATAGCTTCTTCAAGTTGTACACTACAGTTAACAACTAAACCTAGTTGCTTCTCTTCACCTTCATCTGGAGAAATCGAATCTTTAGAACCAAACCTAACTCCAGAAGAAGAAGCTTTACTAACAAAGCTTAAGAGTAATCGAGTCTCAGAGATTGAAGAAGCTTTGATTTCGATTCGACGCGTTACAAGAATCGACGAAGGTTCAAGAATCATTTTATGTACAACGAGACTAATCTCTGCACTTAAGTCACTGATTGTTTCGAGATACGCGACGGTTCAGGTCAATGTCACGGCGGTTCTTGTCAACTTGTCTTTGGAAAAATCTAATAAAGTTAAGATCGTACGGTCAGGAATCGTTCCACCGTTGATCGACGTTTTGAAATGCGGTTCCGTTGAAGCTCAGGAACATTCCGCCGGAGTTATCTTCAGTTTAGCTCTTGAAGATGAGAACAAGACGGCAATTGGTGTTCTCAGAGGTTTAGAGCCGTTGCTTCATTTGATCCGAGTTGGTACTGAGTTGACTCGGCATGACTCAGCTTTAGCTTTGTATCACCTTTCTCTTGTACAGAGTAATAGAGGGAAGCTTGTGAAGCTCGGAGCTGTTCAGATGCTTTTGGGTATGGTGAAGTTAGGAAGAAGAAAAAATAAATCGGGTCAAAATCGGGTGAAGAAGAAGAAGATTCGGGTCAAAATCGGGTTTAAATTTGGTTAAATTTGAATTAAATCAAACCGGGTTATGTGGTACCGGTTTATTGGCCGGTTCAATTGGAGGCGTAGTTTTAAGGATGAATCCGAAAGTACATGTTGCAATTGTGAGAATTATCTAAGTTTATGGTGGAATTTTCAGGGGCAAAAAGGTTGGGGGGAAAAGCTGAGAATGCAACTAGTTTATGGCTATAAAATCAGTCAACCCAAGAATATATGATTATTAGATTTTACCTCGCGGTACACCGCAGGTTGATTTTTATAACTAAAAACTTTAAATTTAAAGTTGTATTTGTTTTGTTGATTATATAATTGTGATGAAAACGAAAAAAAAGATTATATAATTGTATTTTGATTGTTAATTATGGGATTTCACCCATGTATACCATCCTGTATTAATATCGATCCAAACCCGTCCCACCATATAACCCCTTCACGTGAGATTAGACATCACTTTGTTATTTTTCTTTTTATAATATTTTTATTAAAAAAATCACATAATTCGAGTCAATTTAAAATTTTTCTGAAAATGGTTCTTGTATTATATATATTTTAATTGTTATAGACATATAGTTATTTTTATATTACTTGTCTCCCACTTAAGTAATTTTGAAATCTCCTTAAGCAAAATTTGATTGAGTGATCTTTTTCGTCGGTCCGAGTGTAAATAGACTAAATTACAAACTCAAGGGTATATTAATTGCTTATTAGAGCTAAACATGAAAAATATCATATGACTTTTTTTTTATTTACTTAGATAGATTATTGCAAGATCAATCTAAGAGTAAGAATTAATATCTGATAACATTTATCATATTAAAACAAAATATTATTTTCACCATTTAGTGGGTGATTGGTTAGACTGTAGCTGTAGATTTTTTGCTGTAGAATTTTGGCTGTAAGTGTGTAAGCTGTAGCTGTAGAATTTTGGCTGTAATTTTTTGGTTTTGTAGATTTTAAGAATATATAATTTTGGCAGTAAATTTATTAGTTGTAATTAAAAATTATGATTAATAAATATTTTAAATTTTGTATTTGAAAATTATATTTTCTTAAATTGTAAAATTATATATTATAGTTAATAAAATTATTTAATAACAACGTAAATTGTATTATGCACATATATGTAAACGGAATCTATATAAATATAGAAATTATTTCTAAATGTATAAAGTATTTTATATGGTATTCATAAAATAAAATAAATATTAGTTTTAAAATTATTTATACATATTAAGTTTTTTCGCTCAAAATATATATCCATCTATGTTTATATATTGAGACTAGTGAACATATATAAATAGAAAAGAAAAATAATAGTGACAAAATAAAAATTAGACGAGAGATAAAAAAGAAAAGAAATAAAATATACAGCACAAAATAATAGGATGTAGAAATTAAAAGATTTACAGTCAAAACAAAAAGATTTTTTTTTTTTGGGCTGTAACTTAGAAAAAAAACCTACAACATGATTGGTAACAATTTGGCCTTTACAAAATTATTATGGCTGTAAGTGGTACTTACAGCCCAACCAATCAAGACCTTAGATTAGATTTTTCTCTAAATATGTTATGTCTATTGAACTGTTGCCAAAGTTTAGTGACAATAATGTCTCACTCATATTCCCCCTCTCTCCATGACAATAGAATCTCTCTCCTATCAACAAATTTGTAGCTGATAGCCTGATACCTATGATGGATCTAGAAACTACTTTACATGGGGCACACTTAGATTTAGGCATTAAAATCAAAATCTAAAAACCGATCTAAAAATTTTAGTTCCAAAACCAAAACAAATATTCATAAAATTTGGAACAAAATCTAAATATTTCTACTGGAATTACCTGTATCGAATCGAAAATCGAATATTATATTTGATTAAAAATACCAAATGAACAAAAATATATGAAATAACCTAGATATCCAAAAATCATTAGTTATATTTGTCAAAATGTATAACTGTTTGAAAAAATTTAACCAAATTTTATTTAAATTGAAATAATTTTTATTAAAATTGAACAATTTTTAGATTTTTATCACCGTTCCAAATCCAACACATACCCGACCCGAATAGTCATAAAACCCGAACGGATAATAGACTCTTCTACCCGAATTATCCAAATCCAAAAAAATCAGAATCAAATCCGATCAAAAACCCGAAAGCATAAGCTTAGACACAACCTTAATGAATATGATAAATTTTAAGAAATTATTTTTACATGGACATAACCTAATAAATTTTAAAAAAATTATTAATTTTAACACATTTATTAGTTTGGAAAATGAAAAAAAAATTGAAAAATGAGTGTGGGGCACGTGTCCCACCTCTCTTCTATCTAGTACGCCCCCGGCTGATACCTTTGAAAAAAGATCCAGCGCAGAGGCTTCTACTTGGCTCCGTGTACCATTTTGCCGAATCAACAAAATAATTTTTAGGGTGAATTGCATGAATAACCTATTTCACTAATATAATTAAGTTTATAGCACTATAAGTGACAAAATAAAGAAAGTAACACAAGAGCCTTGTGCAAAGACCAATTTGGGTTTCTGAAGAGATCATGTAGAAATAGAGAGAAAGCTAGAAGGTGACGTGTGTGTGAGATATGAGTCAAAGAGGAGAGATAATTATGATGACATGGCCAAAAGTAACATTATCCCAAATAACTTTGTATGTTGAATTAGTCTCATTCAAGTAATTTTTTAAATCTTGCAATAGTTTCAAAAAACTAGATTTTTTTTCTGTGTATAACATCATTTGAATTTGAAAAAATAGCCTTGTATATATTATTGAACTGAATAGTGTGTGAAACTAGAAATAGACTTGATAAATAGAATAGAATGAGGGAAATGATAAGAATAGATGTGAATGTGATGGAGTCAAGAAAATTTAAACATAATCTGATAAATTAGATTGAGAGGATGTGTGAGTCGAGGAAGGAGAAGAACAAACATAATTGAGTCTCAAATCTTGGAAAGTTTCCCACTTAAATATTGGTGGAAAAAAACTATATAGTATAGACTTTAATTAAATAGAATAGTAATAGCTTTAAGTTTTCTAACAATAGTTTAAGTTCTAAGTTGAGATCCTTAAAGAGTTTGGCAAAATTGATGGTGAAAGAAATGGAATCAAGGATATAATTATAAAGTAAACGAATTAGATTTGAAGGCATGTGATTCACCAAAGCATAAAAAGAAGTTTGAGTTGTAGAGACTAATAAAAAGAAAGGAAGAAAGAAAGAAAACAAAAAAAAAGACAGTGAAAAAGATAAATGGATCAAGGGTTGAAGGGTATTTTAGGATATATTGTAAATAATATAGAGAATATCAGCTTCTTTTTTTCCTTAGGTTAGTTACTTAATTATAATTTTTTGTTGGTTATACACTCCAATTTCTCTAATTTTTAATCTTCCCCAAGTTTTTGAAAATTCCTACAAGAACTATCTCGTTGTCATAAACTCTAAATATTTTGCATTAATTTGATTATCATGCTCAGGACCATGATAATGAAATGGTTAATGATGCATTTCATGAAACCACCACAAATATTGCACATCATATATATAATATTCATGAATAACCAAACTTGGATGCAAAACAATTCTATGATATGTTAGACGCTGCTAGTCAGCCAATCTACAATGGATGTAAAGACGAGCATTCAAATTCTCTTTGTGTATAAAACATTGCATCCGAAAACATCCCACTTTGTGATGGCGATAACCAGACATTTCGACGGAGACCGAGAGGTGTCATAAGACTACTTAGTCCAATACACCTAAAATTTAAAACAGAATTACCATAACGAGCCAATTTTACAATTTTTAAATTACAATGAGACAACAATGTCTACCTACCAAATCAAAAGTAAACAGAGAAACAAAGAAAGTACATTCCAACAAAAAAAAATCATGGTGTATATCTTCCTCATGTATCCATAACATTTTGAATCGAATAAGCCTGCAGTCTTTTCTTTGAACAACCTATCAATCAAACATGGATCCCGAAACCAAAAACAAACAAAAACCATATATGTGGACTGCGTTATGGAGCTTAATGTTGTTGATAGATCTACAAAACCAACCATTTGGTTCTTTTCCTTGATGATTCAGGACATTCCTGTAGTCCCTAGGATTGAACCTGAAGCAGCTTCAGAGTTAAGATGGAACAGATTCCGCCAATTCTTGTAATTTTTTCAGACCAACAGTGGCTATGAGTTCCATCGAGACAAAAACTTCATAAGATTTTGCCTCTTCTTCTTCTTCTTCTTCTTCCTCTTCTTTGAGACCGCATGTGAGTTTAAGCTTCTCTGCCTCGGATTCTGCTTCTTGCGCTTCCTCAAGTAGAAGCTTAGCTTCTTCGAGGTCGCTCAGTTCCAGAGCAGCTGATCTCTCGGCTTTTGCAGTGCCACTGTCAATCCGCAACCTCTGGAATCTACTGATAGCTAATTCTCTTTCTTTTGACAAAATCAACCTCTCTATCTCTTGTAGCCTCTTGATGGTTTCTTCAATCTCATGTTCTGCTTTTTCGAGCTCAGCGTTAGCTTTTCCTGTCTCCATCTGTATCTTATCCTTTTCTAAGTTTAAGGACTTGGCTTCTGCAGCTATTCTTCCAGCTTCTTTGAAATTTCTCGTTGATGCGGCAACTTTCTTCTCTGCTTCAAGCTCCGGCATCCTTTTCTCTATGAACATAATTTTATCCATAAAAGATGTAATATTCTGTTGGATGATCGACTTTTTAGAAGATCGCTCCTTTAGTGACTCTCGGGTACTAGAAACCTCCTCTTGTAGCTTCTGTACTTCCTCAGAAAGTTTCTCTTCGATATTTACAAGCTTGGCTCTCTCTTCTCTAGTTTTAGACACATATGACATCAGACCTTTTCGCAATTTAATAACTTCCTCATATTCACATGCTTCATCTGCTGAAACCCGGGCAAGATCACGGAGTTTGGCTCCTCTCTCCTTCTCAGATGCCATGAACTTGTCCACGTCTTTCTTTTTCCTTGATAATTCTTCAGTTTCCTTATCAATCTGGGTGAGACCCGCTTGCGCATCGTTTAACATTTTATCCATGCTTGTTTGCAATTCCTTGTAGCCAGTCACCACATTGTTAATTCTTTCCTCGACTGCCTCTATTTGCAAATCGTTCTCGTCAATCTCCTTCTCCTTTGCCTTCACCAGAGCAAGCAGCTCCTCAAGTTCATTTGACAAATGTTCTTTCTTCTTCCGCAACATCTCCTTCTCTTTCATATCTTGTTCAACGGATCCCTCAAGAGTACCATTCAACGACAACCTAACATTATCAACAACAACAGATTCTATATCCAACTCAACTTTTCTAACCTCCACATCTTCAGAACAAGAATGCCATTTCTCCATTTCATCTGAATAAAAAGCTTCCGCCTTCTCCAGAATCGATCCAGCATCATTCTCAGCATCCGTACAAAACCTCCGAAGCAGAGAGGCAGATTCTTCTTCAGCTGCAATCTGAGAAAGAAGAACCTCCTCCATTTTCGACTCAATAGAGTCACAATCAGATTCTGCTTGGCGAAGCAATGCCAACAGAGCTAGCCTATCTCTTTCCTTAGCCGCGAGGCTTTCGCTAATCCTCTCAGCCGCATCGAAATCCTCAGCCTCAATCGCTTCCTCAAGCTGCTTCTCGAGCTCTTCGTGAGTTGTAGAAGCTAATCTGAGATTCTCAGATGCTTGCCTTCTCTTCCTAATCGCATTCTTGCGAGCAGAAGTAACCGAAGCAGCCAATTCACGAGCTCGATTTAGCTTCGCTTCGATCTGAGCCTTGACTAGTTCCAACCTTGAGCTACCATTACCAACAACAACACTAACAACAGGAGAGTCCAAAGATTGATTACCGGAATCTATCACTTGCGCGACGGAATCCGATACCTGACTAACGGAATCCGATACTTGACTAACGGAATCGGACTGTTGACTAACGGAATCATCTTCATCTTCCTCGAGATTGTTGGTTTCATGCCTACCGTATCCAATTCTTAATCCAGCTGCTCTTTTCTTCCTCCGTGACACCTGACGTCCATAATTCTTCGCCGGAGATTGATGAGTAGTAGTAACTGCCTCGATCGGCTCAGGTTGGTGTTGAACCGGAGTCACAATCGTTAAGTCTGAAAACAGATTCTCGTCCAAAGCCTCCGTCATATCTGGCTGAGAAAGAGCCGTGATCAGTGTCGCCTCCGCCGCCTTGGTTTCATTATCTCCAGATTGAGGCGGTGAGCTTACCTTGTTATCTCCGGCGAGCTCAGCCACCGGCGTAATAAGCTCCATCCCTTCGAACAGCGAATCCATATCGTCGCCACCATCCATCGCCGCCGATCTGATCAATCACCGATCTGATCTACATTTCCATTAATAACATTAAATTCACCAGTTTACTGGGCCTTTATTGGGCCTATTAACGGCCCATTTATGATAATGCTGACGTCATTCTTTCCTGATTGTGTTAGCGCCTCTTCATCTGCATAAAGATAAAAATTTCAACACTTGTCGGCGACTCAGAGAATCTAACCGGAAACCTAAACTCTTTACCTCTGAATCCACGCCGTGTTTTTTCGATTTTCAATTTCTCGATTCGATTGAAGATGGAAGGAGGTGGAGGAAGTAGCGGCGGCGCGACGGCGGGAGCTGGAGGAGTGGTGCCGGAATCAGCGATTGAAGCGGTGAATCAAACACTTGCGTACCTCAAGGAACTGAAACCACAGCTTGAGCAGATGCTGACTTTAGCTGAGCCAGAGGTTCTTGCTGCAATGCAGCCATTGCAGCGAGCTAAGACTATGTATTTGCTAGCTGGAGCCACCACTACTCTTTACGAACGTAACTCTCTTTCTTCTTCTTGAATCTGTTTCCATTGAAGTTTGTTTATTTGCGATAATGTTGAAATTGTTTGTGGTTTTGTGTGTTTTTCAGTGAGGTTGAGGTGTACTGGAGTTGATCCTGATGATCATCGTGTGAAATCTGAAATTGTATGTGTAAATTTGGTGGCTTTGGATATTTTACTTCTCTCATCATCTTTTGTTGTTTTATTGATGGTAGTATTGGATTTGTAGGAGCGGATAAATGTGTACAGAGAGAAGTTTCAGAAGTGCTTGGATCAAAGTAAAGGTAAAGATTGATTTTCTGGTGCCTGAAATGATTTGTGGAGAGATCAAAACTTGTTTGTTCTGTGTATTGAATCGAGGGGACAAGTATTGAAATGTTCTCTGGTGGGAAACTATTTGTTTCAGTTTGAATTGGCCATTGTATAGTCTCGTGGATCGAGTTTTTTTTTGGCTTTCTCTTTTCATTGGAGAATTGCTGCATCTATTAACCATGTTCAAGGATTATGCTCTTCAGCTTATAATTTTAGTGGCTGATAGGTGCTAACTATTTCTCAAGCAGTAAATGATATTTTATGTGTACCTTTCCGTTGATTAGTACATTTTCGAGAACTTGAGTTTCTAATCCTTTGTTTGTTGAGATTATGTATCTGCCTTAGATATTTTTCTTTGTTTTCTTCGATGCTTAGTGTTGATTGATTCTAACTTTCGTAGATATGATGATTTTCGTTTAAAGACTCTTTATTGCATGTACCCATCTTAAATGCAGGGAAGTAGTGTCTCCATTGGAAGGCTTTATCATAATGTCTCGCGCCTAATCCATTGTTCTCGACTTATCTTTTCGTCACCTTACTATTGCATCTACCTATCATCTTATATTGAAGGGAGATTATGCTCTATTTTTTTAAAAGAAAAGTCGTCATTTCCTTTTGGAAAATCTCTTAGTCTATTGAAATTAGGGAGACTGATTCGTGTTCTAGTTTCTCTGTATTTGCTTGTCTGTTGAATAGCTTTATAATCAAAGTGGAGTAATGTCAACTTCGTTTTTGTCAAGATGTACTTCCATTTAGACAACTTATTTGATTTGAATTTAGTAGTGGCTGATTGTTGATTTTAATGTTTTGCGGATATCGCAATGTTTTTTGAAGTTTTTTTCTTATTGTGGAAGATCCGTTTGTTCTTTTCTACTATCTCAAATTGGGAGCGGCTAGTCTCTTATTTTTGTTATCAAACCAGCTTATATATTTCGTTTAGAAGGTGTTTACTCAATTGGTAACGCTTTTGCGCTGCGTTTTATGAAATGACTCGTGGGCCTTTCTGGCAAGAACCGTTTTGTCTACCGGATACTAATGGGCCGACTAGTTCTACTTAGTTACTCGAAAGTATTTCTTTTCATGCGCATCGTTTCATTTTTAAATTGTCTAATTGATGTTTGGTTTATCTGATTAGGAAATTTTGTATCTATTTCGATTTTGTTAGACATTGAATTACTACCTCTAATTCAATATCTTATCCACTAAATGATCTCTTATCTGTTTCTCTTCTTTATCGTAGAACCATTGCGCCCGACTACTGTCTTAAACCGTCAGGCAGCAACCCGCTTCATCGAACATTCTCTACCTGATCTTACATCGAGTAAGCTTTTGTACATTTTTTGTTTCCACCTTTCTCTTTTAGTTTATACCTTGTTTCTCTAACAGTCATTGCTAAATGAATCTAGCCCAAAAGCAAAACATTAGAGACCTCAGTAGAGGAGAGAAATCAAGGTTCAGGAGTTCGGAAACAACTGCGAGAAAGAGGAAATACCAATCAACTGTTCAATCAGCCGCGAAGGACTTTCTTGAAAAGGCAGCTCGTGAGATTATCGGTAACAATGAAAATGGTTTGAAGGGACCTTTAATGGCGGCAGCTGATGGTTCAGATGATGTTGAAGTTGGTACAGGCTGATTTACTACCAATATATCATGGTAATGTTCTCTTCTGATTATCTTTAACACCTGAAAGCAAATCTCCTAATACTTATGGATTGTTATCCCATAATGAAAACACTGTTTCTTTCCATGTCTTTTGAAACTTTAGTCTCTTTACGAGTTTTCCTTAGGGATCTATTTGCTTCTCCTGGTGGTATGATTTTTAATAGCTTTGAGACACTATTCTATGAAGTCATATAAAGGATGGACCAATAAGGAAGTATTGTTCATTGTAGTGAATTCTCCTAGGCTACAATACCATAATAGTATCAGTTTCTTTGGTTCTCTTCGTGTAAATCATTGCATCCGTTACTTATCTTCAGTATTGAGATCTTCAGCATCATTTCTGTCTCTACATGCCAGAATAGTATCAATGTCTCAATTCTCTTTGTGCAACATTGCATCTGTGTTACTTTGCAAATTCTCAGTCCTTCAACACTCTCTTCATCATCTTTTGCAGCTGCTGCTACATTTTCTGGATCGTAGTTGTGGCATTCGTCATTGTCGCCATTGCAGAGAAGTTGGTTTTGTCAACTCATCTTTGATAGCGTTTAAAATTTTTTGGACCTAGTTAGTGTTGTGGTGTATGCTGTTTGTACATTGCATTATGTTAGCAACTGTTTTCGGAAAGCTCTTGAGGTTGGTGAATTTTGTATTTGGAAATAACATTAATGTCCAAAAGGCAAAAGAATTCAACAAATCTTGTGGATCAAAGAATCAAAAAGCAGAGATAGAATTTGAACAAAGTAGGTTAAAATCAGAGCAAAACAATCCCTAATAATCCAACAAATCCCAAAACCCCAACTTGGCGAGTCAAAGAAGAAGCAGCACCAGTGGCAGGAGCAACAGCAGGAGCTCCCAGAGCCAGAGATGGTGCAGGAGAAGGAGCAGAACCGGTGAAGAAACCACCGGTGTGGCCACCACGAGTGGACATGACTACAATGTGAAGCTTCTCACCTTCAACACAATTGCTTTTGGAGCCGCTGATGAAGAAGTAAGGACCAGATCTTTCTAGCTTCACTTTAGTGTCTCCATTGCTGTAATTAGCTGCTGGGTTTGTAGTGTTGCAGTTAATGTATGCATCTTTTGTCACTTGCAAAACCGAGTCCTTTTCTCCATCGTACTTCCACACTGTTCACATACAAAAGTTTCAGAAATTTACAAGTCCAAGGAAAGTGCTGGTTTTTGGATTTGACTTTTGGGGAAAGAAAACTCACCAAGAGAATCACCAACGTGAAACCGTAAACTCTCAGCCCATTTGTATAGGGACTCGGAAGGCGAAGAAGGGATTTTCCAGGCGCTGGTTTTGCCTCCAACGAGAATCTCTTTGCAACATGCAAAATTAGCCAAGAAGAAGAAGAAGAATAGAAAAGTAGCTTCGATGAGAGTTCTCTGAGCCATTAGAATTAAGTTTGTGTAAGAGATATAGAGAGAAAGAGAAAGTGAGAGATAAAGAGAGATTTTTGTGGTTTATTTGGGCTCTGTTGTGATATATATAGAGGAAGAAGAAACTAGCCGTTGGAAGAGAATGATGTTTTGCAGCTACTCTCTGTTGGTCCCAACGGTTGTTATTTTAAACGTGTCAAGTCCCTACCATTGAGACTCAGGTTCCAAGAAATTAGATATAAATCCATTTTCTTAATAACGGTCGGAGACAGAATTTATTGATGTCCGCAAACCGCAATTAACGCGAATAGAGTGTGCTTTTAGATACTTGGAATTTGATGTAACCAAGAAAATGCTAAACTTAAAAGTTAAAAAGAGAGTATAAAAATATAAATAGAAATGAAAGAATCACATATTGTCAATTAAGAAAGATAATCCAAAGTGTCATTTGGGAAAATCAAACAGAATACACTCTAAAAAAAAAAAGGTTTACATATAAAACCTTTCTTTTGTTACTTGTAACCAAAACCAGAGCGAAACAAGAAGAAAGACCCCTATTGAGCAAAAACAAACTTGTGAAAATCATTAACTATATTACCTTCTTCTTCCTTTCTTTCTTTCCTTCTTTCTTCTCTTGAATGTTTTTCCTGAATCAATCGATCTTTACCGACGAATAAATGAGCCTTGTGAACCAGAGACAAGCGTAGAACCCGATTGTTCCGGTCAGCACGAAAAACGCGTAAGAGGCAATAAGCATGTATCCGAAGTAGAGCATAGCTGAGACGAGCTTAGTGATCTGGAGCTTTGTGAAGAAATAGAAGGCTGCGTAGAGGAAGAGATAGACCGCAGAAGAACCTGAGGTGAGGTAAGACCTCCACCACCAGAGATAGTCTTCACTGCAAAGCTGGAAGTAGCAGAGAACAATGGTGATCTCAGCGCAGGTGACCATAAGGATCACAAAGACGAGGAAGAGGAATCCGAAGATGTAGTAGAACTGGTTGAGCCAGATGGATGTGAGGATGAAGAAGAGCTCGATGAAGACTGCACCGAATGGTAAGATTCCTCCAATGAGGATTGAGAAAACTGGGTTCATGTACCAAGCTTGCTCTGGGATTTGACGTGGGATTTTGTTGGTTTTCACGGGGTCATCGAGAGGTGGCTTCTTGAATCCGAGGTAAGCGCCAACAAAGACAAGAGGCACGGAGATTCCAAACCAGAGGAAGATCAGGGCAAACATTGTTCCAAAGGGAACAGCTCCAGATGATTTTTGACCCCAGATGAGAGCGTTTAGGACAAAGAAGATGGCTGAGACTACTGCAGGGAACAAGAAGGCTGTTCTGAAGGCAATTCTCTTCCATTCTGTTCCTTTGAACATTTTGTAGAGACGTGAAGAGGCGTAACCGGCAAAGAGGCCCATGAAGACCCAGAGAAGGAGCATGGCTGTCATAAGACCTCCACGGTTGGAAGGTGATAGAAATCCGAGCATGGCGAAGATCATAGTGACAAGTACCATGCCTAAACACTGGACACCTGTGCCAACATAGACGCAGAGAAGATCTGAATTGGTTGGAGGCCTGAAAACATCGCCATGGACGAGTTTCCACCCAGTCTCTTCTTGAGCTTCCTCTTGAGTCTCAAGCTCGTTGTACCGTGAAATGTCACGGTAAAGGGTCCTTAGCATAATCATCGCTACCATACCAGAAAGGAAGAGGACAATCATAAGAGAGTTGACAATAGAAAACCAGTGAATTTGATTGTCACTCATCAGAAGATAAGCATCCCATCTAGACGCCCACTTCACTTCACTTTCCTGAAGACACAGCAGCCCAAACATCAAAAGAGTGAGAACAGGAACACAATACTATCTCATTAAGACAAAACTATCATGCGATAAACTGATTAGTCGAACAAGAACTTGCCTGAAAGTCAACATCATATGTGAAGATAATTTCCTTCTTATTTTCGACTTCTTGAGGGGTAGCCGAGCTAACAACAAGGCGCTTTGTGTGGGGATCACAGGTAGTCAAACGGGTCTTCTCGCTCCATTGTCCCTCGTATTCATGCTTGACACTGCAATTCAAGGAAATAATAATAATTAGTTCTGAAAAATAGAGGAGATCCCAAGAGTCCAATTTGTTAACTAGAACTGCACCTGTATGGTTTAACCTCAAATCCCACAATCCTTGCAGCATCGGTTTGCATATCTCTGTGATACCGGACAGTGAATGCCAAGTGATTGTGCATAAAGTACTTTTGCTCTTTGCTCTGTTAAATTCAAAAGACTGCTTAGAAAACCGTACTATAACGTGCAATGCAAATAGTAAATAACCCAAACCTACTTACCCCTTCATACTGGCCTTTAAGACCGACATGATAGCCTAGCTGATACACAACAGATGGAGAACCCTGACCCGGATCAATTCTTTCTATTGGAACCACTAGAGGAAGATTATCAAGGATCCTAACAAACACATACACAAGCACATCATAAGAACAGTAACAGAGAGAGTACATGCAATTCATTACATCCATATTCAATGTCCTACATGTTGACCCGATACTCATCATCAATCTTCTCTTTGAACGCCTTGGCAGACTTTGCATCAAGCGTAACACGGCCGAGAATATTACACATTTGTGCCTCACGCATTTTAAACTACATTATTCCAATTCCACAAGTTAGCAGTCAAGTAAAGGGGAAGACATAAATGTATCAACTCCAAATCAAAACAGAAACAAACCGAATAAGGAGCATTTTCGATTCGGTCACCACGAAGCACTTCACCAAGATTCTCAGTACTGTCCACAATCTTCTTAGGACGGCAAAAAGGAAGAGAGTAATACGAATACGGAAGCTGAGTCTTAATAGATGTCAACTTGTTTACTTTCACTTTCAATTCATCTCCCTACATAGACCACAACACCAAGATCAAAACTTCGAAATTCGAGTATAATCATTTTAACTTGAATCTTCTTGTATAAGTTATAATTTACAGAGATTTGTATCAATTAGAACCTAATCATGACAATTAGATATAACTAACTGAAAATGCGACATTGTTACAGATCAAGAGATCGTAATGAGAATACGAAATTGGAGACTAAAGTGTCGGTGGCATATCAAAACTACGATTCGCTAACTCAATCCTAAAACCAGATCCGAGAGATCTAAATCAGATCCAAATCAATAAGATTCGAAAAACTGAAACGTTTTTACCTTTTCGAAATCCTGAGGAGCAACACCAGGAAGGTAAAAAGAGTAAGCGCCATGAATAAAGAGAAGAAGAATCACAGATCCAAGAATTTGTAATCTTCTAGAACTTCTATAAAACTCCATAGCTATGGCGGTTCCACAGATCTGGAGCTTAAAGCTTTAAACGATTTTTATGTTTCTATTTGTGAGAGAGTCAGAGTCAGAGAGAAGAAACGAAGCACTGTGAATTGATTAGATCCTTGTTTCTCTCTCCGTTATTGCTTCGTTTCTGTAACATCATTCTTCTCCATTCATATTCCGCCACGTGTCTAACCCCGTCGAGATGCTGTAGATGGGCCTCATTTCTTAAGCCCTTTTATATTCAGATTGATCCGTCAATTATTGTGGTATGGCTACATTTTGATGTCCAGTAAAAACGAATTTGATTAATCAGCAATATTATCTATACTAGTATAATTGCAGCACTTTTTGTGACGGGTGGGTAAAACATCTTACGGGTATATCGGATATCCGACCCGTTTTAAAAAATCATTCACAAAAATAAACTTGGATCGGGTTAAATTAAACCCAACTCATACACCGGATATTCCATATTTAATAATTTAGATATTTAGAAGATTTGATTAAAATTTATAATTATGATTCTCCTATCATCTTTGTTTGATTTGTTTTTAACTGTTTTGAATCATCATATAATACATAAAGTAAAAAAAAAATCAATTTTTTTTTTCTGTATATACTGTGATTCGAAATTTAAAAAACGGACATATATTATCTAATTGACGAAAATGTGTGTTCAACGTTCTACATCGATTAAATTATTTAGACAATGATTCAGAATCATATCATAAATAAGAACATTAATAAAATAAATGAGTTTTTTTGCCGGACGGGTTTGGCGGGACGGGTTTTTGAATCAACAATAATAAAAAAATTAAAATATCATTAATCCGCCGCTTCAATACGGATTAAATCTTCTTTTTTAATACCACAAATATTAGACATATTAAATCAGTCTCATTTAGAAAAGATTGTATAAAACCAAAAATTGTCATGTGGTATAATGTCCCGTGGTCTTAGAGGATGATATGATTTGTAAACTTTTATATATAATAAATAATCATTAAATTTTAAAATAAAAACAAATCACGGGATGGGTTAAAAAATTACGGAACAGGTTATATTTCGGAAAGGATTTATATGGCGGACGAATTTGAATCAATATTTATAAACCGCTTTAACTAGATTTTAACCCGCGGTACACCGCGGGATGATTTAATTTTAAAGTTAGTATAAAAATATTTTGTAAATTGTATCTCCTTATAACATATTTATTTATATTATAGTTTACAATTGTTATTAAGTAACGGTATACCACGAGTCCACGAGATAATTATTAATAAACTGAGGATTTAACCCGTATTAAAGCGGTATATAAATATTGATTCAAATTCGTCCGCCATATAAATCATTTCCGAAATATAACCCGTTCCGTAATTTCTTAACCCGTCCTGTGATTTGTATTAAAAAAAATAAGGATTAAATCCGTATTGAAGCGGCAGATTAATGATATTTTAATCTTTTTATTATTGTTGATTCAAAAACCCGTCCCGCCAAACCCATCCCGCCAAAAAACTCATTTATTTTATTAATGTTCTTATTTATGATATGATTCTGAATCATTGTCTAAATATTTTAATCGATGTAGAACGTTGAACACACATTTTCGTCAATTGGATAATATATGTCCGTTTTTAAAATTTCGAATCACAGTATATGCAGAAAAAAAATTGATTTTTTTTTTTACTTTATGTATTATATGATGATTCAAAACAGTTAAAAACAAATCATACAAAGATGATAGGAGAATCTTTTTTTTTTTTGTCATCTTTTAAAATTTTTTTTTTGTCATCGATGATAGGAGAATCATAATTATAAATCTTAATCAAATCTTCTAAAAATCTAAATTATTAAATATGGAATATCCGGTGTATGAGTTGGGTTAAATATAACCCGACCCAACAAATTTTTTGTGAAGGAATTTTTAAAATGGGTCGGGTATCCGATATACCCGAAAGCTTTTTTACCCACCCGTCACAAAAAGTGCTGCGATTATACTAGTATAGATACGGGTTAAATCCTCCGTTTATTAATAATTGTCTCGTGGACTCGTGGTATACCGTTACTTAATAACAATTACTCCCTCTGTTTCACAAAGAGTGTCGTTTTAGATGGAGTAAAAACTAGATTCCCTAAATTATAGGAGAACTAAAAATCTAAAATCTTGAATGGAAGATCACAACAAAAAAGTTTTCATAAATTGTGGAAAAACCAAATTTTGAAAAACTTGATTGGTGTGAAATCAGTTTTTGAAAAACAAAAACTAAAAACTCTTTCAAAAACTACAAAACATTCAAGGCCTAATAGTCATAAAACATAAAAAATCATTAAATTTTGCATTGAAAACCTAAAACGACACTCTTTGTGAAACAAAAATAAAACCTTAAAACGACACTCTTTGTGAAACGGAGGGAGTATAAACTATAATATAAATAAATATGTTATAAATAGATACAATTTACAAAATATTTTTATACTAATTTTAAAATTAAATCATCTCGCGGTATACCGCGGGTTAAAATCTAGTTAAGTTAAGTAATATACCACAAAGATGAAAGATGATGTTTATAAACGACTAAACGAGTAGTACAGAAATTTCATACGTTTGGAATATAGAGTTAGAAATTTTGGTTAATTGTACCAATTCACTCGTATTTATGGAATAAAATCTTCATATGACTACTTTCTTAATTTTCCTCTTACAGGCTACAGTATTTTGGTCACGTTGAAGTAAAATGTGTCTTAATGAACCATCTTTACGTAAACGTTAAAGCAAATCAAAAGACGTTACTTTTCGTCCTAATTATGATTAATGCTTGTAAATAAAGAAACCATATCGATGAGAAAACGAAACAGTATATTTTTATTAATTAAAAACGTTACTATAACATTTACATCATCTCGATCGCTAAATATAAATATGTGGATTACAAGGTCTTAGACTCACCATCACCACCACCTTCTTCCTCATCAGTTTAGTTGTTCTTGATCTTTTTGGTAGAAGTCCTCGGTTTTTTCACTTCTTCATAGGCAACCCCTGATGAAGATGAAGGCCTTTTCTGTTTTGGATTCTTTGATTCAAAAACTTTCTTGTTGGATTTCAAGATTTTTGGTGGCTATCTCTGAGGATGGTAAAGATACTGAAAACGATACATCTAATGAGGAGCCTAAGCCTTTGATGGAGATGAGTCCAAGCAAGGAGAATGACCATGAAAAAGAGATGCCAAAGACCTTGAAACCGGGCAAGAAAGTTTTTGAATTAAACAATCGTAAGCAGAAAAGGTGCTCTTCATCTTCATTAGAGGATGACATTGTGAAAGGGAAAAAAACCGAGGGCTTCCTTCAAAAAGATTAAGAGTAACAATACTGATGATGAAGATGGTGATGATGCTCATGATGATAAGCTTTAACAGCCTCTAGAGATTTCTTCAAAAAACTCACCACGTGTTTGGACTCATCATCAGATTTTTTTTTTTAACAAAAAGAAAATATCTGATGGTGAGTCAAGCTCATGGTGAGCATTTTAGATATATAATTGAAGGAGGCGAAGGAGAAAGAGGCAGGAGAAGGAAGTTCCGGAAATGAAACAGAAGTGGAAGAAAAATCTTCTTAGCTGTAAAGGGGTAAAGGGTTTGCAGCTGTAACTAACGCCACCTGGTTTCGATTCACGGTGGGAGGGACTATTTACAATGCTTGGGTTCCCGGCAAAGAGGTGAAACCACCTTTTTTCTTTTACCAAAAAAAAAAAAAAAAATCTTCTTAGCCATAATGTCGCGACATAAACAAAATAAAAATTGGAAAGAAAAGCCAAGAAAAAAATACAAGAAAAGGTAAATTATATTATTTTGAAGCAAATCAGATCCAAATCCATAAGATTAGAAATTGAAACGTTACCCTTTCGAAATCCTAAAGGAGCGACACCAGGAAGGTAGAAAGAGTGAACACCATGAATGAAAAGAAGAAGAATCACAGATCCAAGGATTTGTAATCTTCTAAAACTTCTATAAAACTCCATAGCTTGTTAGTGGATAATTGAGTTTAGTCGCTTGTTTAGATAATTGAGTTTAATTAATATGCTTGTTAAGAGTTTTACACTTTCCTTCATTATCTGTCTTTGAAGAATAGCGTAACGTGAAACTTGACTCAAAACAAATCAAGGAAGTGTATGTTGGTGGTGATGGTGATGATCAAAACTCATTACAAGGGAAATATTTTGTGACAGAGAGCGCGCGTTGAAATCAGGAAATCTTCTATATTCTCTTGAGAAAACTGGGAAAGATTTCAAGATTACAAGAATGAATGTGTTTGCTTATGATAATGAATGGGAGAATCTTCTTGATTTTTTTCGATATTTACTTGGATTTTATCACTGTGAAGGATGACGTGAAGAAGAAGCATAAGAAGGAAAGAGTCTAGGCTTTGAGTTTTGGTGAAGAATGAGAATTAGTTTTCACAAATGCTCATCTTTGGTTTTTGTTTCATCTATTATTCTCTAGTTAAGGAATTTATGAAGAAGAAGAAAAGAATTCATCTATATTTAGTATAAGTGGATCTTTGTATATTTATGAATTCATCTATTTGGAAAATATATTCATGAATTTGCAAATTGATGATGTGAAACAGTAGAAGACAGAAAAAGTGCATTGACTTTTGAAGACTAAATCTATCCGTAAAGAAGATTTGGTTGGTTCTCATATAACTATTATAGATTCTCATAACCATCTCTCGACTCAGAGGATGGTGAAGAGAGTACTTGTATATGTCGTCGTTTGGCTCTTAGCTTGCTTATACCTTACACGTGTCGCCGAATCTTCAGACCGATGCAAAGCTTGGCTGGTTCAATCCATCCCCACCGACATGCCTGAGCTTCCTCGCATCTCTGGTGTTCTCTCTACAGGTTCTTCATTGTTACTTGCTTTCCAACAACTTTATTACTATTTGCTCTGTTTTCGTTCCACGAAAATCTGCTTATTGAGCATTGTTTCCTCTGTTTTCTATGTTAGCTCTGTTTTTGTTGATC